CACAGCAATGTGTGTGCTGGAAGAGAATGAAGGGAAAAATCCATCAGCCTGTCCAAAGTAAAAACAACACCATGGCCTCAGGCTGCAAATAAAAGAGGGATGAGACAAAGAGGAGCCCACGTCCTACCTTTCTCCCCCTTATTCCTCTAAAACTGGCTGTCCTATCACAGCCTTAATGCAACACAAACCTGGCAGGCAGCCACGCAGAGCCACATAGAGAAATAAAGAGATGGGGGTTTTCTAGCTGTCGCTTCAGGGGAAATCTGAGAGAATGGACCGCGAGGAGCAGGGATATCCTGTTCAGTTCAAGGCAGGGCTGAGGTGTTTACTGCTGCACCGCACACAAACACTTGTTGTAGACAGCAGGTAGGGGTTAAACACGACAACACAAATGTGGAACAATGTCCACAAAAGGGCCGATAACAACGATGAGCTCATACAGCGTGTGTTTGTGGTTGTGTGTGTGGAGAGGAGGGTGTGTTGGTGTTTGCTGTGGGAGACGGGAAGGACGCTTTTCCATAAGGGCGTCACCTGAGAACAAAGGCGAACTCAACTGACACCAGAGACAACAAAAGAGACGTGCTACTGGAAGTGAAAATGCGTCGATGCATGTGTGCAGGCTTGCACAGGTTTGAATCCTGCTGATGTAGTTGGTATTAAAGATACACAGAGAGGGCATGGAATCTAAAGATTGAAATGCCCAGTTCTGCTCCTGAGAGGCATCTAAAAATCTATGGTTTTTTTTTGCAATGTCAGTTTTTTTGCAAGGTGAGCTTGCATGTTCTTGCTGTGCTTGCATGAAATTTTTTCCTCCCACAGAGCAAAAACATGCACGGCACATTAAATGGTGTGCATAACGTCTCTTTTCGTATGATGGATTATTGACCTGTCTGTGGTGTCAGCTTGGATCAACTCCAGCCTCCCTACAACTTTCTATGGATAGAGCAGGTACAGCTGATGGACATATGTATCTGCAAGTGTTGTAGGAAATAAACTGCATCAGTATCTGTTTTTTCTTCAGCATGTTTCTAAACAAAAATAAGTAGTAATTTAAATTTAAAGCTGGGTAACAGTTTAAACTAGCAGTTTAGCTGTGAGGTGGGAATGTGGGTGTGTTTCAGTCAGTCCACTGTTTTGGTACAGAAAGACCTAAACAGAATATATGATGAAATAGTGTAAAATAAATGGTCTGAGAAATATTGTGCAGTGCTTCTTGACTTTTTATCTACAGAATTTCCCCATGGGGATCAAAAAGGTATTTCTTTTGTATTCTAATGCTACAACAGGATCACATGTGCAGTTCTGAATTAAAGACCCCGACCAGTGAAAATTAGGTTTTTTACCTTGCTGACATGCTGTTTCTTTACATGGTGGAATCATGAGCAAAATAAGCAGTCAACACCATGTCTGAGCATTTCCAGCTTGAAACTGTGATGTCCAGATAAATGTGTCAAAAACGCAGATTCAGACAGCAATTAAGATGTTTAATTCCTGACTGGAGAGATACTTGGTGTCTCCACAGCTTTGTCGAGACCTCAGGAAACAAACTAAAAAGTTGCCGAGAGGCTGACACCAGGCCCGATTTATCTTATACGTAAAATAAGTTTCCATCCATCCATCCATTGTCTATACACCGCTTAATCCTCACTAGGGTCGCAGGGGGCTGGAGGCTATCACAGCTGGCTTAGGGCGAAGGCAGGAGACACCCTGGACAGGTCGCCAGTCTATCACAGGACTACACTTAGAGACAGACAACCAAGCACACTCACGGATAATTTAGAATCACCAATTGTGTGGAAGGAAGCCGGAGAACCCAGAGAGAACCCACACTGCATGGGGAGAACATGCAAACTCCACGCAGAAAGATCCCGGTGTCCTCACTGGGACTCGAACCGGCAACTTTCTTGCTGCGAGGCAACGGTGCTAACCACCGAGCCACCTTGCAACCTGTAAAATAAGTTCGATTGATGAAATAGAATCAACTTATTTGCATAAATTACCTGACGATAAAGGAAATGGCACGGTGGTCAACAAGAAAAGCGGCTCACAAATGTGGCCGATGACTTGTCCTATGAGTGTCACCGACCCTTTGCATGTGAGCTCACACTCTCAATCACTACCACAAACACAGTAATAAACAAAAGCACGAACATTAATAATATCCAAGTACAAACCACCACAAATCTAATTAGTCTTAGCACATTTCATTACTCGCTAAATCACTACAAACTGCCATGAGATTTAATTTGCACATTCCTGTCCCCATTTTAGAAATTGTTGTTATTTTAACATTATTTTAACAAAATTTTAATTTGTCCAGTTCTAAGTACAGACCAAGCTACTGACATTCCAATCTGCCTCCACTGTTGTTGACAAGTGCTTATTAGTTGGCACGCTCAACTATGTGTTGGAAATATTGCATCATTGCGTTGCTTTATAAGAGTGTCGACGTTGACATTTAGGATGTACCGAGGAGAAAATGCACATCGGACTCAAAGCTGGAACCTGCTCACTAGCATGAAAAATCAGTTCACCAGGAGCATTAAGCAGGTGAGCTTCCAGGTTCACTTCTGCACACGTGCACATAGGTGTGTGCCCTGCTGACTCACTTTTTCTCAGTGCCAGAGATTCTACAAGATTCATCACAGAAAGAGGAAAAACAATCTTGTTTGCAGCTCAGTGTGTCCTGTCAGCAGTTTTTAGATTGGTGGACTGTGGGAAAAAATGCTTTTTGGGCCGCTGGGGATTTTTTTTTTTCATTGCCACAAGTGACTGCTGGGACAAACTGGCAGCAGGGTTGACTGAGTGGCAGCAGCGTATCCAGCTTTCTTACCAAACCTCTGGGAACAGCGCTGGGTGGTGCAGTGATTTTGGTGCTTGTGGATCATACTGGGCCTGTTGCACAGAATTTTGACGTCTGGTTTGACACTAGTCTAAGTTTCACACCACAGAGTTTTTTTTAATCTTAGAAACAGTTTTAAAAATGCAACATATCTTAACTTTTAAAGACACCGAGACCATTTTTATTACTAAAACAGCCTTTTTACCTGCCTGAAACAAAGAAAAAAATCCCCTGATTGACTCCAGGTTGCACAGAACTGCCAGGATTTTAACCAGAACCATGAGATGGGATCACATCACTCCTGTTTTAGCCTCTTTCCACTGACTCTCAGTAGATTTTAATATTCTACTGATTGCTTTTAAGGCCCTTTATGGTCCCTTGGAGATCCTCGGATCTTTTGTCTGTTTCAGGGTCCTGACTAAAGCTAAAGGGGGAACAGAGTGTTTGCACTTGGGGCCCTGAAAACCCATCTGCTCGGGGAAATAATGTTTGTTGAGTCAGTGATGTTATTCAAGTCCCTTCCTTAAACACACTTTTATCAGAGGGGACTTCCTGATTTTAATCGACTTTTAACGACCTTTGAACTGTCTTCCACTTCTTTAAAAAACGTTGTTACCTACACTGCAGGGTTTTTTTTTAATACACCAAAATCTGTTTTTATGTCTTTTACAACCTGATAACTTTACAACCTCTGTTTTTGCTGGTCTGAGAAACATTTTGTGGCTTACATTTTGAAAAGGGTTAAACTTTAACAAACGTTTTGTTATTTTCTACCCATAAGTAGCTGGACGATACTTCTTCCTCAAGATGGTCTATAATTAGCAAAATTCTGATCAAAGACAAAGTCACTATGAATCAGACCAGACATCCAAAGCCAACACTAGTTACTTGGACAATTTTTTAGACTTTTTACAGACATGTTTCATTGGACACCTGAGCTCTACAGTCAGCCTCACTCAAACAGGTAATAAATTGACCTTCCGGAGGTTATTTTTCTTTCAGCAGCAGTGCAATAATGTTGACAGCAGTGAACTACAGACAAGGTGACTGCTACAGGACTTGGAAGGCAGCAGAGGGAGATGGGAGATTGGAGGAGATGAGTCTTTAATATCAAGGAATGCATTCAAACATCCCACACAGTTGTCTGAGCAAACAGCTGGGACCTTCATGTGTCACACAGCATCAACGTGTGATAGAATAATCCTGGCCAATGAGCAGCTGCATAACTTTCTACACACTTTCACAATGTTTTGCATATTTCCAGTCAACAGATATTAACTGTTCCACACAAGACAATCCTACACACAGTGAAACTTTGTATACAAACGCAGCTCTTTTCTATGGAAGTCATTATTGGTTCAATGCAAACTCCAGAAGCTTAACTCTGCAGCCTGTTTGCAGCTTTATGGTCCGTTTCACAAACTGAAAAGAGGTTTTGCCTTGTCAGTCTTTTCCATTGATAGAACAGTTATTGCAGGGAGACAGAGGAGCTACCTCCATGAGAAAGACCCTTCCTGTCGCCACATACTAATTAATATTTTTATTATTATTATGCATAACAGAAAACAGGAGGAGGCAGAGAGATAGAGATGAGAATAGCAAAGTGGGAAAGAGGAGAGAAAAAGATGTGGTTTAAAGAAGAGGGAATGTGGAAGGAGATAAATCCTCAGTAAAAACAAGTTAACGGGTAGTGAAAGTGGTGTGTGCTGAAGCGTTTCCATTCTCTCCACCCTGTCCAAACACAGGAATTTGGCTTTCAGTCACTCTCACACACAGAAGGAGAAGCAGATGTGAGCCAAACCGCTGCAACTTGGATGTGACCCCGAGTATCATGAGAAATCTCAGGAAGCTTCTCCTCGTTTTTCACCTCATCTCCTGTTCACCTCCGTCACCGCCTCCCCCCCCCCAACATACTTCTTGATTTCATTGTATGATGCATCTCTGTGCCTGAAACATGAACTCACCTCCTCATTTTTTTTTTTACCACTGGAGCCACCTGGAAAGACTCTCAACCTGAATCTATCTAAGTTGTGTATTTGTTTTGTAGGACTTTGCTTTGCAACATATCAGAGAGATTTGACTGCTCCTCTGGAAACACCAGCCCTACTACTGTATGCAAATAGACCATTATCAGTGTGTGTGAGTGTGTGTTTCCAACCTTAAAGCTGCTCAGCTCCTGCTTGGTGAAGCCATTACTGTGGATAATCTTCATCTGTTTGACCAAAGTGCTTTTTCCGCTCTCAGCTGCACCTGCAGAAGGTCGTGAGATGGTTAGAATGGGGTTTTTATGAACATGTAATCATGTGTGGTCAGGTTTCATCCATGAATCTGTAAGATAAAAATAAAACTGTGGCTCCAAAGTAGGATTTATGAGTCAAAATTGAAAGTTTGCATGAGGCCTTGGAGCTATTTCGAGGTCAAATTGGATGATATGAGCTCATATTATGTTGTCAGTCTCACCTAACAGCAGAACTTTAACCACATTCATCTCCCGCTTTGCGCTTTCGTACAGGTCTCGGTCTATCTTGGCACTGTGAATCCTCGCCTTCTTCTCCTCCTCTGTAACTTCGGTACCGAGGCACAGTCCCATCCTGAGCGCTCATCTCCCCCCAGGCCGGAGAGGAAAACACGCAAAAAGCAAACAGGATATGTGTCCAAACTGCAGTCAATCCGAGTGTGTTCCTGCTGCTGCTGCTGCTCCTAAACCTGCAGGCTTTAGAGAAGAAGACGCAGGAGAAAGAAAAAGTTCAGGCCATCTCCGAAACATCCTCCAAACTCAGCAGCAGTCGTTGTTGTTGTTGTTGGTTAAAAAATCTTCCGAGCAAATCTGGTTTTACGCATCGCTCCGTGCGCGTTTTTCCTCCCTGTCAGCGGCTGATTATTGCGAGTGTTCACAGAAAACAAAAGTGCAGCAGTTCAAACTGTGTCCTGCCGCCTTGGCAGAGACCCCACATATTCCTCTGGCTGCCTCCTCCCACTGCAGCCTGCTGCCCAGATGGAAAACTTTTGGACTTCCTGGGAAGTGACGCGCAGAGTTGCTGCTGGTTTTACATCCGCGTGTTTCACCTGTGCATGCCAACAACAAACAGCTTTCACTTTCATGTTACAGAGGTAGGGAAATCATTAACTTAATTATTGTGAACTTCAGCTATAAAGGACTTACTTTGATCATACAGAGAAAACATTTACAGCTTGTATTTCGCAGAAAATCCTGCCCAACCGGTGCCAATGTCAATTTCAAATTAAGTGTTTTTATCTCTTGTCTTTGGTTCTTCCTGGAGCTGCTCTACACTGTAAATCATTATAAATTCATTCAGCTTAGAAACTGAGTTACCTGCACTTTAGTTGATTAGTTAGTTCCAAGTAATCTTCTGAGTTGTGAAAGTGTAGCTCAATTAACTGAACTTGAGAAAACAGCTTGAGTGAACTTAAAATATTAAGTGGAATCAATTAGTCACATAAGTAATGATTACAGAAAGAATCGTTTTGCTTTGCTTTTTCTAAGTTTCTTCTTATTTTAACATTGAAAACTTCAACTGTTAAAGTCATTTATGTATGTATTTTTATACCTGTGTTTGCACCATTTCTCTGTGTGTACTGCTGCTGACAACAATGTGAATTTCTCCACCGTGAGAGAAATAAAGGCATATCTTATCTTATTTTTGTTGAAGATAACCTTTGAGGCTGCCAACAGGTGCAGTGAGATAAATAATAAATCTCAAGGTGCAGCGACTGATTTTATTACTAACCTTTGTCATCAATGTTTGAACATCAATAGCTTAATTTAACATGTTTTAAAGACACCAAGAGTCTTTGGGGAGTTTTAACTCTCTAATGATGCATCCTGGTGAGTCTGGCTATTATAAAAGGAAACAATCATAACAGACATGTTCAATATATATGTCATATATCATCAATCCCTAAGAAATATTTTGAAAACAGTTAGTTTTAATTGCCTGTTTGTTCTTAAGGGCCCTCCTAGAGTTTGTTTTAGAAGTAAAGCTGAGATGGGATTTGTTGCAATGTGAAGTCTCACCACTAGAGGGCATTAAATCACACACAGAGGCCCTTTAAGGCTGTTTGTGCAAACAGTGTGTTTATTTAATTAAACATTTATTTAGATTTGTCCTCTTTCTGAATCAAACTGTCCAGTGTACACATTTAAATACATTGTGAAGGGCTTGTTACTCCTCTGACTTATAGTTTTCTTATTTCTTTATTGTTTATGTGCTATTTTATTGCTCCTGAACTCCACTTTACGGCACCAGCTGCTAGAAAACAGTTTCTAAATTCCATCAGATTCCTGTTTTTCACTGCTCTGCTGTTGCTCCCCGTTAAAACAAACAACAAAAAACAAACAAACAAAAAAAAAAACTGCTTATTTTATCCTGTAGAGGTGAAAATATTTTTTCAAACCATTTACAGTATGTATACTTAATTTGTTAATGAAGCTGCTTTAGGCCCTTGAGAGGCTCCTGTCTCATCTCACATTGCAGTGTAAAAATACACAATATGCTTTAATAAATGGTCTCAGTTTCTACATGCAGAGCAGAGTCCATGTGGTTTCACACCTCCAGTTTCTGTGCAGGGGTCTTGATCATAAAACAAACTGTTTTCATGTCTGTTCTGTGCTGACTGATGAGCTCTTTAATGCAGAAAGTCCTCAGAGACACTCGGGTCGCGGATTAAAGACACTTTGTGTTCACGATGAAGTGATGGTTTGCTGTTTTTGTTCAAATCTGCGACTGGAAGTGGACCAGCAGCCGTGGCCTCATTTCACTGCCTCAGTGAACCGTGACTATGTGCTGATCAAACAAGAGATCCGAGGCGTCGGGCTGCACACATTATGCTGCTGCAGTAAAACAGGCATCACGCGACTCTTTTGCCATGTTACCTATTTATTTAATAAAGCGAAAATTACACAGTATAGTGATTGAAAGGTTGTGAAAATTTTCCACTGTCTTAATATTAAAAACTTCTTGAATCCTCACTCTACCAACGTCCTGGCTCCCGACCCACAAACACACTGTCACACACCAACAATAATTCACCGACCAATACGACTCATTTAAAGACAGGAAAAACAGTAACTCATCAATGACAGTGAAACTGGGCATCAGATTTTTCACTTCTTGGATTGTCTTGTGAAAAAGGAGGGGGAAAAAAAAGACATTCTCATTTTCTCAAAACACATTCCTTGAAAAAAGAAGGACTCAACAGCTCAACTCAACAACTGCAGAGAAGCTCCAGTATATTTACTGAGCAGAACCAGAAGTTTATACAGTACACAGCCCTTAAACAGGTTATAGCTTTAGGAATGAGGCACTACTGTCATTTACAGCGCAAACACTCACTCACCAACCTCACTCAACATTCACACGCACACTCGGTTCAAATTCAGGTAGTTAAAATCCACAGTTAAAATTATTAGACTATTTCACAGATCATTTAACATAGTAATAATGTTTGTTTTTTTTAGGATGGACAAAAACAAAGTGATCTTAAACAAATTAAAATAAATGAAAATGGGTTAAAAACAGACCACATTTAATTTTAGTGAGTACACCTCTAAGACTGATGATTAACACTAATATGGTTAAAAATCTAAAAACATACCTGACAATGATATTTGTCAATAAGTTATGGGTAGATACAAACTTAACATACCACACCTACACCTATACATGGACAAGTAGTGTGTGAATTCATGGACAAAAACAGAACATGACAAGAGGTAAATAGAATTCTCTGAGGGGGAAGAGACCAGTAAAGGGATTTTGCAGGTTAAAACTTAGCAAGTATTTGGACTCCTTGTATTCTTGTCTCAGTTAGATCTACTATTAACCTTTTCAGTCTGGAGTCCAAGCAGACAGAAGCATAATGCCTCACTGAAGATGATTTTGCACCCAGTGGACGAGTAGAGAGACCGACTGGCCGGGCTCAGTGGAGGACGACATGGACTCTCCATCTGAGTCTGCTGAGTCCAACCTCTTAAAGCTGAGTGTTCCGGGACGAGTAAAACAGACTCAGGTTTAAAGTCTCACTAGTGAGCGGCTTCAGCTGCAGCTTCACTCTGATCCTGCTGCTCTCTCCTCTTCATCGCCTCGATCACCGCCATCTCCTTGGCCTCCTTCTTCTGGTTCCTGGCCTCAAACTGCAGCCTGCAAACAAGAAAAGAGACGTCAATAAACACAGGATAAAGACAAACAACAATCAGTGGATTAAACGAGTCCCTGACCTGTTTTCAATGATCCTCTGGACGATGTCATCAGTGGTGAGGTTGTTTCCACTGTCGATGGTCCTGAAGATTCCCCTCTTCCTGGGTTCCTGGGGGAAGAACACACAACATCAAACCAAGGAAAGACAAAGTAAATCTGTCATCTGCTGTGAACACTAAGGTCCCACCTGCAGTATATGAGAGCAACTTTAAAAAGCCTGAATCAGGGCAGTCATCAAAACTTAAACGTGCAAATGGAACACTATAATGCCACCTTTAGGACAGACAGGGTAATGGTGTAAATCCAAAGTGAAGCACACTTGATTCTTAAAATCTAACAGATGCTGCAGAACCTCTTGATCTGGTCTTTAGCAAGCAGCAAAATGTTTCTGAAAGTGACTGTGACCAGGATTCCCATTTCTAAAACACATGTATTTTATAATGCTCATCTTTAGATGTAAGTAAATTGACTTGTCTGTATTATATCTCTTCTGTTCATTGCTGTGTGTTTGTGTGCAGGCTACAGAATCTGATTCCTACTGCAAGTGACAATAATACACAATGTGCAAATTAAAGACAAAGGTGGAGGCTTCATAGAGTGTCTGCACAGGGCCACAGCAGTAACCAAAACCACTTCACTGTTTGTCTGCTGACACCAGACCACCTTAAAAAGAGGCTTAACCAGATCACCAGTGTGTCCTTAAGTATGTATAGTGTGAAACAGTTTACAGTTTTGCTACACTGATAAGTTACTTATTCAAGTTGAACAGTGTTTGTTAACAAACAATGTACTCACAGCGTAGGGGTCTGATCCATCCTTGTCTGGAAACACCTCCGTCTTGCCATGACACACCAGGTCCACCTGCACAGTTATACAAACAAACATGGTTAAACCAACAAGCAAGTATAGCCAGAAGTTCATTCTTATGATATGTAACCAGTTCCATGTGGCTCTCAGTATAAACAAATCTATCTACCCCCAATGTTCCAGTTTTTAGTTGTATTTTTTATAATCACACATTACTATAATGTCAGCGAGTGTGTCCATGTAGAGTTTTCTTTGGCAGAAAAGACCTGAAATGATACTGCAGACGACTTCATCCTAATGCTTCTTTAAAAAAAGCGCAGGATGAGGTGTGTGGGGTTTGTTTCTATAACATCAATATCTTGACAACTCCCATTGTACTGTATACGAGCCTCACACCGACGCACACAGCTCAGGACAGATGACATGACCAGTACAAGCTCCAGTTTTCAGGGTCACCAGAGTGATAAGTGCCGCTCATATGGTTAGCATCCTGACAAGGAGCAACGGTGACAACACCGGTGCCTTTTTGAAAAGTTCTGAGCTTTTCAGCTAAAAGGGATTAAAACAGCTGCAAAATAGGTGAAGAAAGCGTTGCAGTACATTTCCACTAATTTAACAGAAACTCACTATCACAAGAGAGGCCATGAGAGTAAACTGACCTGCAATACTGTAAACTGATATGCGAACTTCCAACAGTTTGTTTGACAGAACTACTTATTTGATATGATGGCCTCTCGTCCTTCTATTTAAAATTCCCAAGAGGGGGCGCCAAAAGGTTCCACACTGATCCGTGTTTTTTTTCCATGGCACACAAATGAAGTACTCTTACAAGTGCAGCAACCAACAGCGATCCCTTCTTTTAGAACACAGTGTCAAATCAAACGAAACTACCTGGCTAGAAGTCCTTGTTAGTTTTAGGAAATATAACCAGTTACCAGTTCTTTATTACTTTGCATGTAAAGTATCCAGGGTGTTAACATTTCATTCCTAACAGTATAGCAACTTGTGCAGTAATTTCAAAAATTGTAAAAATATTCAGTTAAATACTGGATTCTAGCTAAAAGAATAAATCCCTCTTCACATCTGAGGCCAGAGGAACTTTTGTAGCTGTCATTTCTTCCTTTATATCCTTTGTGATATTTACATAATTACAAAGTACAGACTGCACTCCAAGGACTGCCTGCTTTTCTGAACATTAAAAGTATGTACAGAGTTTGACAAAAGACTTCTGATGTGGGAAACTACATCTGTTAATAACTGTTAAAAAAATATAAAATTATAGACACCTGTCATCCCAACTAAACACAAAATTAAGAACAGTTTAAGAAATAAAATGGAACAGCGGAATTGTTTGAAGGTATACCTTCAGTGTGTGTCAAATAATTATGGTGCTATTTTGGCCAAGACCCTTTGAGTTTCACACTGAAGGGACCATCTTGGTTAAACAAACTTATCTGACTTAAAGCCATTCAAAGGCATCTCACCTTAAAATGATCCAGCAGGTCCTTGCCCACTGCATAGGGAGCACCAATCACCACCTCGGACACATACTACAGACACAGAGGACCATAATGAGAGAAAAGGACAGGTTTAAAGATACGTTTCAAATGATTAAACATTTCTAGTCAGTCTCACACCAGTCAGTACTTTCCTGCTAGCATGTTAGAGTTTAACTGGAAAGCATCTTTTAAATACAGGAGATCTCAAAGTTGCTCAAATTCTGCTCCATGTCATGAGCCATTGAGTAAAACTGACAGCAGAGCATGTTGATTTAGTGGTCTTCGTCTTGTGTAACATCCTCATAAGTAACACAAACATTCAATGCAGATGGGTCACAGAGGCTCATTGTTCTAGACTGATAGCTGACCAGCAGGAATGGAGGGTGCAGAGCCAAGTTCAGCTGCAGCGCTGTGAGTACGCGGGGAAGAAATGCATCCCACTGTGCTGAACATTCAGCCGCCTGTGTGTGAACTCACCCGACAGGCCAGGACACTCAGAGTTCTCTCATGGATGTTCATGATCGGGTAGTTCTTTCCTTTGTAGCGGTTCACTTCCTAAAAGAATGAAGAGATCATCGACTACATTAACATTCTCAGCTTTTCGATGTTTACCTGTTTACATAAAAAGGGGGCATGCAGTAAGTTAAAGAGTGGTTGACACTCCTAAAGTACACAATTCATTCAGAGAGCTCTCATTCTGTCTATCCATGAAGTGTAAGCTGCTCTCGCTTTAACTTGTTCCAAATGTTTCTCCAGAAAGCTGCTGACGCTGCAGGGAGGGGAGGATTTCTTATCCTTCTGTGAATGTGTTGGCTGGTTGAGTGCATTTAGGTGTACCTGGTCAAAGTGCAGACCTACGATGACGTAGGGCCTCTCCGCCTGTTTGTAGACCATCTCTAAGAAGTCAACATGGCCAATGTCTGCAGAGAATTTGAAGTCAAGGCAACAACAAAAACACATACACCACAGAAATCCTAACCCAGATCTGGTGATTTTCACATGATGAGGATACGAAAGAGGTCAAACGCTCCGGCTACATAGATGATGGTGTCTCCAGGTTGAGGCTCCTTTCCAGAGGCGAACTGGATGATCTTCTGGGACGTCTGCAGGAACTGAGACACTCCTGTCCACGGACTGTGGCCTTTAGGGCCCTTGAAGACAACAGAATGTACATTACTGAACCCCATTAGCACACTCTTGTTATAGAGAAAATGTGGCAAAGGCCGTACATAACAAATATATTTCAAGACATGACAGGATTGTAGAAACATAAAGTCACGAAAAGTACCTTTCCAAAGTTGTCTGTGTGCTGCTGGTAATCTGGGTTATCCTGCAGAGAAGAACAGATTGATTAGACCAACAAAATATGAAATAAACAGTCACTGTCCAACTTCAAAAGACAGACACATAAACTCACCAGGTTACTGTGGTGGGCTTTAGTCATGAGAAGCATACGTCCCACCAGGTCGGTGGTGGAGACACCTTGTGTCCGCTTACATTCCCGGTAGCGTCCTTCTCGCTTCACCTCCGCGTACGTGTCTTTGCCGTCTACTGTCAGCGTGATGTCATCTGGTAAACAAAAACCATCATCTCATCACATCACATCATGTGCATCACTAAGTACGACTACTCAGTGATTCAAGTTGTGAAACAGAAGTCAAAGAGCAGATTTCAGCTGGTGTACCTCCATGCACACAGAAGTCACAGTTGTATTTGTCCAGAGTCTCCAGGGTGGTCACATAAGGTGCTCCTTCGACTATCTCATCCACCCACTTGATTGCCCGCACCATCTTGTAGCGCTCTTCCTGAGTGAAGACCGGAGGACCCTTGTGCTTGGAAATCTCGGCTTTGAAAAGAGAGTTTGGACAGAATTGCTTTTTAATGGCACGTCAGTGGTGTAGGTAATGAATAATGTAGCTGATGGTCACTTAAAGGTGAATGCTCTGGCCACATGGATGATGGTACATCACTCTCTGTGCCGTAAAACATCTCTCACTGTCGCCCTACAAATACAGTGCAACTACAATCAAACTGCACATTATTCAAAATGTAAACTGAAATGATTACAGTTACTTAGCTCAGCTTTTGTCAGCATTAACCATGGATTAACATCTCTATGGACTTAAGCTGTATTGATTTTGAACAGAAATAAACAATTACTGGCATTGATTGTGTTTGATATCAGTATTTTTACTGAAGCAAAGGACACAAATACTTCCTTTATCATTGTAAATATTCATATCAGAGTGCGTGCATTCTTACCATCAGTGTGCACTCCGGCGATGAGGTAATCTCCCATGGCTTTGGCCTGACGCAGCTGGTTGGAGTGACCATAATGCACCATGTCATAGCTGTGGAGACAAAATCAATAAATCAATAAATAACAACGTCATCAACACGGAAAATAATAACCAATGTGCGCACTCAGACAAAACATAACAGAGAGAAACAAACAGATTAACTCATAACAATAAGGGGTGTGTACTTGACAATTAGCAGCCTGAAGCTGCAGGTTTTTCAACTGAAGCTTTTCAGGCTCACGGCATCATTTTCTATTCAGTTCAATTCAATTTTATTTGTATAGCGCATATTTACAACAACACGTCATCTCATAGCGCTTCACAAAGGCAGAGACAGAAACACCCAACAATCCAAAACATTTGGATTCCCTATAAGCTTCAGCAGTCCATTCAGTCTTTAAAACACAAACTTATAAGATTGTTTTGATTGTCAAAATCTTATCTTATGTTTTTCTCTTTCCACGGTGCACTTGTACTGTGAAGGACACTTTCTGGCTAATCTAAATCAAGCTGTTTGAATCTCAAAAAGTCAATTGATGGATTGTCATGGTGAGGGAAAATGAAAAAGGTTACTGGGGGAAAGGTAATGGTCACAGGCACGACATCTACTATGTGTCGGTGTTTATTTGCTTTCTGCCATTCAGTAACTTTTACTGGTAAAATTGTGTTTGCTTGCATTTTGAAAGAGAAGGAAATGTGAGTGCTCCTCCCTCATTGCAACATATTTGAAGTCTTAGCTGGTCTTAACCTAAATAATGAGAAACTACGTCATTTTCAGTAGTATTTATTTATCTGTAGGCACTTGAAGATTGGGATGTTGCTCAATTCCTCAGTCAAGTCTATTTAGGTTTTGTTCAGCACCTTAAAGCTTCAGATTCCTACAGTTGCAAAACACTGAGCTCAGGAATATCCAGTCCAACCACAGAGTGAGCAGCTGCTGGTTAAGAGGCTACATAAAAAATGAAAAGAAAATTAAGAATTAGGTAATTTGCTATTATGTATTAGTTCACAGTACCATTTATATTGTGCTATTGTAACATATCTAAAATTCTTCCTGGTCACACATCCTTCACCTGTTATTACACATGCATATATAAAACTTTTTTCTTGTTCCTCTTTTCGACCCTCCCTTAAAGAGGGAGCCCCTGCCCACGACACCAGCATGCCACTTCTGCAATCAACTGAAAAAACATATTCACTACGTTAGATATTTATAACCACCACACAAGATGGATCATGTCAAAGTAGCTATCACCAAGCCAGTATCCAGGAATGATTTTAAGTGTTGCAACTGAGAAGCCAGTTGTCCACTCTGCTGCAAATAAATCATGTGATTCATTCATTGGCAGAGCATAAAATAACAACAACAGTGATATGCCTGAGTTGGCTCCTAGCTGCACAAACTCAAGTGTTACTGACAATCTGACACGTGGACAGAGTAAGTAAAAACCTATAAGCATTCTGAGTGTAATTTAAAGAACTCATCATTATTATATGTACACACAACAATATTAGAGGTACTAATGGCAGGATTCACATGAGATCAGATGCACATAAAATGGATGAAGATAAAGGTTGTCAGACCTGACAATCTCAGTTTTAAGTAATCTCAACCAGCATCTCTAACATCTGTGCAGGGTTCAAAGGTTTTCATTTGTAGATGCTTCTTATTTTATATTTTACCATGCTTTTAGTGTTATCTGAGTACAATTCGCACACACATACAAACACACACTTCAACAGGTCATTCATAAGCTCAGCAGGAATGTGAGGGTATGAAGCTGTGGACAGGAGGGATCTTGTCCCCAAATAACCTAATGCCATTGTGTCATAAAATCTGATAAGAGAGCAACAAGTTTACATTTACAACTTCTGAATGGAGTCCAAGTCAAAACACACACACGCCTTCATAACCGGTGCACTGCTACACATACACTACGGCGTGTTTTGTATCCATCTAAATAAGTACAAACGGGCGGTTTTGAGAGTACAGTTAGCAGTAACTAGCGTGCTATGTAAACCAATAACGCTGGTAACCTTTAAACTCCTTTTGCTAAGTTATCAACCGCTAAGCGGCTAGCCAGCTAGCATTAGCATGCTAGTCGAGTGAGTGTTCCTGGCGTGTGTTACATAATGTTCGTGTACAGGAGAGCAAACTGGGGACAATAAACTGACATTTTAGTCAGCTGCGGGTACACAAACTCACCAGCCGTCACACCACAACCGGACAACCCGCTTCCTCTTCTCCGGACTGCACGCTGAGACACCCGGCTTACTGTAGCCGGCTTCGTCCCGCTGATCGCTGCCGGTGGCGTGGTGTCCGTTTTTGATCATTTCGACTGGTTCGGAGAGCGAACTTAGCGGCAGTGCGATTAAAAACAAGAGGTAGAGTACGCTTTCAAGTATTTAAACAGTCAAATCAAAGTTTCCCGCAGTTAGAAGCCTATTTTAAAGGACGTCCCGTCGTCCGTCAGACAGAATGACAGTGAAGCGGCCAACGCCTCCAACCCTACGTCACATCGAACGAACCCTCTGACGCTGAGATAGCGATTGCATAATCACGCAGGTCACGTGATACTATGCAGCCTATAAAAACAACCTGGTGGAGTTTCTCCTAAAAATACTTTATACAAGTACTTACACAAAACTTGTGCTGTGTACTTTTACTTTTCCTTATTCCACTGTAAGTGCACTGAAAAACAACATAAACGCAGCATGCAAATAGTCTTGTTTTTTGATCTGTAGAGAAAACTTAAAAAATAAAAATAATAAAAATAAAAAGTCTTTTGTTTCTGTCAGAAAAGCAGTTTGTGCACAAAACGTTTTTAAGCTGTACATCTGGTGGCACGTTCTCAACCACTGAGTTAATGCTTTCAAGGACAATGATCAGATAGTGTAACCAGCTCACAGACACTCCTTTGACAAGTGATCATAAAAGTCCACCTTATAATGCAGCTTTATTCAAATGACACAATGCCACAGATAACAAGAAAAAGATGACAGACAGAGAGACGACAATCTGCCACATGACACACTGGATGTCCAACAACAATTCAGCAATTTCTCTGAGGTTTCCATCAAAGGGATCAATAAAGTTCTGTTCTATTCTATTCTATTCTATTCTATTCTATTCAACATGATCCTGTCACCCAAAAGTTCACTGACTTTGCCAAGTCTTTCAGAGTGGGACAACATTTTCCAAACCAGCATCGAATACCTCATTGACTCTTTGTAATATAAAAGTGTAACTAGTTACTAACCTGTGATTTCTGGTTATTCATCTGCCCGTATCATTTCCAATACGGTGTATACTTGCTTGAAATGAAATGAAATAAAAAATACTTTATTTATCCCAGAAGGGAAATTCAATAAATATGCTTGTTTCATTACAGGAAATGATACAAATACTTTTACCCCCATGTTAAAAAGAACAGACAGAATTTATTATTTAAGAATTATTTAATTTAACTGTGTTGCATTTATTTTTTTAGCAGATTTTGTTGAGTTCATTTGCAAGTTTGCATAATTTGTGTAGAGTTTGCATGTTCTCTGATTCCCCCCACAGTGCAAAAACATGTAGGTTATATGAGGTTCATTGGCGAGACGGACTGATAAACTGAGTGAGCATGAATAGTTGTCAGTTTATATCCAGGGTGCAACTTGACAGTTGCCCAATATCACCTGGAACAGGGGCCATGTATAAATTAATTAAAATGAATGAACTCATCAGAGACATGAATAGGCAGCATATGCACACTTTAAACAACAGAAAAGAAGTCAATCAAGCTTACATGTGTGCATTGAATAGGGAGGGACATCATTAAATAAGAAAAGTTGATGGACAGAACCAAAACAAAAGAATGCTTGAGAGTCTTGCTGCAATATATTTTGAACTGGTGTTTGAATTTTGTTTTCTTGTTTTATAAATAAAGACATTTTCACCAGAATTTGGTGCAGAAATGCTACACATTTGTGCATAGAAATTAAACAGGAAATAAATTGTCAAAACTTCCTGCGGGAGTGGTATGAGAGACAAACCTACCTATAAGATGGAGTCTGACTTTCCATATTTTGCTCTTGCCTCAGGAAGGCTCAAATCCTGTATGCAAAGGCAAGTAATTTTTGTAATGAATATATGTTGACATTTTACTTTTTCGTGTCCACAATTGTTTTCACATTTTGGAATTCACTTAGCATTAGAATACTTCTTCCATAGTTGAAAAAATACTGCTATAAAGTTGATTATTTGTCAGAGTTACACCAGGATGCTTTGGGAAACATGAATACAAATCCAACGACAGCAGTTAAATCCAAAACACATAGGCACAATATTTAAGTAAACTATGTCCTAAAAACTTCGGTAAGTTTGGTGTCTCACATTAACCAATGAACGCAGTAAAATAAACCTTGAACAATAAAATACCAGGTAAAGCTACAGTGCTAATATTACTTCACCAGTCAAAGCAAAGGGCAGTGTAATGATTTATTGTGTCACAAATATATCAGTTCTTTTGCAAAATACATGAAAAAACAAGACGTTTTCACATTCAGTTTTAGCACTGGTCTGAGTTTTAGGAATGCTGAACACTAGCTTATCATGACTAGTCTGTCATTTTAAAACGTCTGACACTTTATGGTACATGAAGTGATTATTAATACTACGAGACAATACCTGAGACAAATTAATAAACAATTAATGTGGTTGCTTCCAATCACTTCAGTAAACAGTAACTTAAGATATAATCTTTCAAATACTTTCAATCTTTTGAAACATGAGTCATAACGCAAAACTCTGCTTTTCTTCCTGCACTGCTGTAAACAAAAGGCAATAAAAATGTAAACATAAAACAAATTCCATAACTTCAGTAAACCAAAGATACAGTAGTGGCTGTTCTACAGAGTCTGCAGACCTGAGGATGGATTACAGCAGAGCGAAGGTCAACTGTGAGTTCAGAAAATAATTTATGAAAACCAAAATACCTTTAAAAACACAAAAAAAACACAAAAGAAACAAGCTGTGTTTCAAAAAGGTACATTCAAAAATTGAAGTTCTGAAAAAAAATAGCCACTACAAAAATATATTTTCCTCTACGCAATATATGTAGAAAATGTTGGTAGAGTAGAAGCACAAAAGTTTTTTAAAAATTGGCAAATTCTGTGCTGCTGTTGTAGCTGCTGCTGTTGTAGCAGCATTTACCCATGTTTCAGTGAAGGATACCCATGGGTATAAATATATTAACTTAAGCCTTTAGACACCAGTATTATAATGAGCATTTCCATCCAGCTGATGATTGTAACCAGCAGAATGTTGTACATTAAATTAGTTACTGTAATGCACCTGTTACCAGTTTGGTAAGTGACACTCCACAGAAAATCTGACCTTATGAGCATGACTTGCCACCAGCAAAACGTGGCTGTAAAAGGTTGTACTGTGTTGAGATATACTGAGCATACAAAGAGACAGAAGCGACATTTATAATGCTGCAGGAGTGTTTCCAAAATGTGTCACTTCTACTGTCTTTTCTGATGGGACTCAAGCATATTGGAGTTGTGCTATAACAAATAAATTCCCTTTCTCTGCCACTGTTTAAGATTTTCAGTGCTGGAATCTTGAGGAGTTTGTAATGCTATGCTAGCTACACTAGGCTAAAACGAGGCTCTGACTAACCCAGCTAGTTCAGATAAATACAAAAAAAAGTTGGATTACAAAAGCCACTTTCAAACCCTGCTGTAACTTAAGCTTGTATTTTGTATAAAATGAAAAAAAAAAATCATGGTGCAAAGTGCTATTTTCAAATGGCCAGTCGTAGCTTTTCCTTCACACACACACACACATGCACACTGCATTCAGACAGACATGTCAGCATATAGATCAACAGCACCCTAACGCTGACAGTCTAACATGTCCTCATTATGGGACTGAAGTTTGAATACCTCATCGGCAGCGAATGACCAGAATGTAAAGAGTCCATAAAGGTCCTGCAATTATGCAGCTTTTTTCTTCTTCTTCCTTCCTTTGCCATAACCTCGTCCGAACCAGCCACCCTGCACAGACGTGACTTCGTCTGCCTGCTCATCAGGGTCATCCGAGCCATCCTCCTGACCTTTAGGGGGCGCTATGACCTCACGAGTGTGGCTTTTCACCTCCTCTGGCTGCAGAAGTGTAGCCAGACTGAAGATGGGGTCCTCCATCCTGATGAAACAACAAGAAGGAAACTCAAGGCAAAGGTATACAGTTCTGTCTAATCTTTTTCTTCGTGTGTGTGTGTGTACATGTAAGTAAGAGAAATCCAGGTACTGCATCTGACAAAGTTTGAGTAATTTAAAGATATATGATATCAGCTTTTTGAGGATTTCTGACATTTTCCAATTCATTTTGGCTAATTGCTAACATTGAAATTTCCACCTAAGTGCAGAGAACAGAAAATCTCTCCTGTAGTGAAGAGATGATTAACGATTACATGATTAACTATCAAATTCATTGCCAGCTATTTTGATTAGTGATTAATAGGTTTAATTAATTTTTTAAGAAAAAAAAGGTCTAAATTCTCTGATACTGCATCTGAACTTTGAATGTTTTCAGGTTTCTTTCCTCCTCTGTGGCAGAAAACTAAATACCTTTGGGTTGTGAACACAGCAAGACATCCTTTAGTCTTTAGAAAACATTGGTCAACATTTTTCACAATTTTATGACATTTTTTAGATCTATTAATGGACCAATCAAGAAAATAACCAAGACATTAATGAAAGTCCTACTGGAGTGACATTACCATTTAACTGCTCTTACAGTGATTTTCTACTGGCAGGTGCATACAAATATACACAGTACTTTTCAAATGTACACATTCATGAGACAAAATAAGAAAACTACTTCGAATTACATGTAAACACACCACTGAACATGACATTGCTTTTGTCTAACTTCTAGGCGACTTCATCATATCCACACGTCAATGTTTCATTTTAACCTTTTACTGGTATCTATGCTAGAAACAGGATACACACATATTTGTATCTACTGTTAAAAGAATGGCCAATTTAAATTACAGATTGTATATTAATAAGACCAATATATTTGACATTATGTGAGTATACTGGGTATTACTGCTTCATACGATTCTTACCTGTCATATGCAGGAATCTGAATGTTCAGCTCCTCCATGAGGAGCCTCATGACATCATCACACTTTCCATTAATTTTTAGCAAAGCCAGGTCATCTTTTGGTGTCCACTAAAACACAAAAAACAAAAGCACATCCACATAAATCAGTCGGCAGGGCATCCAGAACTTCATTGCATCTCATTTGATTTATTTGGTAAGGTACAGTTAACACAGCTGAGGAGAAGTCAATAAAAAGTAGCTGTACATAACTGTTTACTCCCTCCAGATGTCCCAGGACCATGTCTGCCTGACCTGCTGGCAATTTGTCACGGGTCTAGTTCACCCTGAGTTTCCCCCCCACAATCTCCTCTTTCATGATTTTCTCAAAAAACAACCAAATTACCTGGAGGTTGACGATATAAAGTTTGGGCCTTTTGCTGGCTGGTCTGTTCATGGACCACAGACAAGCGTATTTCTTTAGCACCTAGAAAAGCGACAGACAGAACACACAGAAATAGAAGCCATTACATAGAAATCATATGTAATGACTTTGTTTTTGTGACAACGTATTAATGAATTAAGATAATTGTCCTAAACGCAATGGCACTATTATTTTGTTGACTAACACATTATTTACATTTAGACTGTACAGTATTACGATCTGAAAAGGTGTGTTGTAACTTATTCAGTGAGCTTTATCTATGGCACAAAAACTACAATATGAGTGACCAGCTCTGTTAGCAGTCCATGTAAACGGACCAATGAAAGGACTCTCATCTTCGGAATCAGTTCATTCAGGTCATCATTATGATCCATAAACATTGTGATCGTCTGTCCAGAGTGTTCAAACACTAAACAACATGTACTGTGTTTTATCAAACCTGCCTTCAGACTGGAGCCCAAGCAGAGGATAACATCTGCCATCTTGGCGGCCTCTGCAGCTCCTTTCCAGTTGAGAGGTTGTTCCAGAGTCCCACGTTCCCCAAAGTGCACTATGGTGTCTCTCAGTTCGCCGCCACAGTGGCTGCACCTGCGTCCCGTGGCGTGGCGATGCAGCGACGTCCTCTCCGTCACGTCAAATAAGCGCACGTACTCCCTGACCGGGGAGCAGGACGTACACACCTGGGGACAGAAAGCAAAAGCAGCAGGTCATGTCAGTGTTTCCCAGGACTGTTTACAATCTGAAGAAACAATGTCAGAAATGTAAAGTGTTAATAATTTTTTAAAAATAAATAATCCAGCAGCACAGAGTGACTTCTGCAGTCAGGACCTCAGGTCATAACGTCACTGCACCTCTATAGTGCATTCAAGCCAACCCTGCTGTCAGTCTCACTATCTGTCTCTTCAACGCATCACATCTCGAAGCTTTGGTTTGTTTGACATTTGTGCTACTTTCAACCCTCTCACCCCCACATTGCTCACTCATCCGTACACATCTTACACTGCTGATGCAACTCACCCCCACATACCTCATTTGTTTATTAAATTATTCATGTCAAAGAGCTTTATTCACCCTCAGTGGGGCAATTTACAAGTATAGGCAGCAGAGCAGACACTGCACAAACCCAGAGGGTGGAATAAAGCGATAAATAGTTAAATACAAAAAACAATTGGAGAGCAATTTCCACTGAAACTTGGCTCTTCTCCACAGACAAGTGATGAAGTCGTAAGACCTGGAGTTAAAAGGCAAATGTTCAACCTGCAACATTTCAAAGATGTGAAGCACCTGAGAGATGAAATAAACACAAACATGCCTGAATCTGTGAGGAACAGTATTAAATCCTAATGAAGATCCTCTACTTTACCTATTGTTTTTTAAGGTCTTGTTGTTATTATAGTGTTTTATTTATGTTTTCTCATTTTAATAAATTTTTGTCTTGTTTTTTTTTTAATTACATTTTTATCACTTTCTTTCATGTTGTTCTCCCTTTAATCTATTTTACCTGGCTTGTTTTTTTTTTTTAAATGTAGTTTTATTTCATTCCTTTATGGTCCAAACTTGTTTTGTCTTATTATTGTTTGATCAGTCATCTGTGAAATACTTTGAACAGCACTAAGGCTGTTGAAAGGTGCTATTCAAGTAACATTTGTTTGATTAACTGAGATGCTACTACTTAAGACTGAACTGTAAATTCTGTGCATAAATATCTTGACTTTGCTGGAAGCTGGATTCTTCTAAGTTCAGAGCGTCTGGAAACTATGTGCAAATCAGTCCCAGACAACTTACGACGAAGGATGCATGCGTCTCACCTCAATAAACATGTTTCCATGCAGCTCAGACAGGGCGTGTCTAGGTAGGCCACTACGCAAGTGAAGTCCATCGCAGTTTTGAGACACGACGTGCTTCACCTTTATCGACAAACACACACATTACATGTAAACGTCGATGGAACATGGTGCACTACAACTATACGAGATCTATCAAGGTGTCGCATACCAGCGTTTCCTTATGAAGCATCCTAATGCACATGTGCGTGAGAGTCGGGGCTGCTTTACTCAGGTCTGATGAGCTGTTTGTAAAGAGAAACAAACAAAAGAGGACACAGGTGGGGAGTTTAATCGACTTCAGAAAAATTATGCAGCCAATTTCCCATTACAGTCAACTCTCACCTAATGGTTCGTCCCTTCTGTAGCTGCGTCCACACACCGTTAGGGCCCCTGTAGTCTGGGATAGAAGCTGCCTGAAATGAAAAACATCATCAGTCCTGTGAAAGTTTAAAAAGGAGAAGCACAAAGGAAGTAGAGTTGGCATACCGTGCTGATACCAGCTCCAGTGTAAACCACCAGGTGATTTGCCTGCTTGACCGCCACAGCAAGCTGCCGGACTTTACTTTTCAGCTCTTCAGCATCGTCAAAAACCTGTGAACGGTACAAGAAAATAAATGTGTTTTAGGTTTACAACCAAAAACATTCCTTGTATCAAGTAACAACCAGAGCAAGTTTTTATAATCAGGATTTGTAAAGCAACCCCAAACGCTGGGGTTTTTGGAGACTCCATTTAGCATCAAACAATCTGCTCTTGGGCTGAATTTACTGCCTGACCTGAACTAACTGGCAGTCATTTGAAGTCTCCACCACTTGGTGATGATTTATAGTTACATTTTTTTAGTGGAATGGAGATCCCCTTGGAGAGCTCTGTAGATCTTGGCATGGTGACAACACATTTCAAAAGCAAAGCGAGCACCAGACTCCAGATGTCCATCCATCCATTTTCTATACACCGCTTAATCCTCACTAGGGTCGCGGGGGGGCTGGAGTCTATCCCAGCTGACTTAGGGCGAAGGCAGGGGACACCCTGGACAGGTCACCAGTCTATCACAGGGCTACACTTAAAGACAAACAACCAAGCACACTCACAATCACACCTATGGACAATTTAGAATCACCAATTAACCTCAACATGTTTTTGGACTGTGGGAGGAAGCCGGAGAACCCAGAAAGAACCCACGCTGCACGGGGAGAACATGCAAACTCCACACAGAAAGATCCTGGTGTCCACATTGGAACACAAACCGGCGACCTTCTTGCTGCAGGGCAACGGTACTAACCACCAAGCCACCTTGCAGCTCAGACTCCAGATGTGAAAAGCGAAAATGAGACAAATTCACTTTATAAGGAGATTCTAATAGACGACACCTAATCTGGAACCCATGATTCTACTTTTATGGATATGAGAATGTGATAAATGTAGAAGTGAACTTCCCATGTAACTGATCCCAGTGTTATTCTCTCAAAGAGACACATTGTAAAGGAAAATCACCAGTGCCAAAATGACAATAATAATGATAATAGATTAATTTTGGCTTCATTTACATAACAAACATTTTTGTTCATTAATTGTCAAAAACATCAGGAAAATAAATATATTTTTGTCAAATAAAATAACAGACTCATTGCTTTTACTCTATGCAGTCTATTCATGCCTAAGATTGTGCAGTCACACCACTAAAAGTCATTCTGAGCAACAAAAAAAAAAGAAAAAAAGGAACTCAACCTTTTTTTTATTAAGATTATGACAGAAAATGTTGAGGAGTCCTTAATTTTTTGATAATGTTCTGTTACTTATCTCAAATACATGACTTTCACTTGCAATAGAGTACAATGTACACTGTGGTCTTTGTATTTAGGTATTACATTATATCCTCTCCATGCCAGTCACAGAGAAATCACTAAAATAACAGGACTGGTGTCACCATTCAGCTTAAAACAGTCTTGTTTATCTCACTGATCTGACTGCAAGTCAAGTCCCACCTACCAGGTGTTGTGCTAGAAGCTGATTTGCATTAGTTTGCCTACTCTGTGCCCTCCATCATAAAATTTAAAAACCCTGTTAACTCATAAAAGGCAGTTTTGCATCTGTCCATAAAGCGGTGGCCCCTAAATTGTGACAAATTTGGTATTAACTGATTAGAATGACTTGATCTCATTCTTGAGTGTTATATTATAGCCCATAGAAAATTTGCAAACGAGATCAGTCTTTAATTTATTTTTACTATATGACAACCATCTGTAAATCATGTTAATTGCAGTCGTTTCTAAATATAAAAAGATGTCAGGCATACCAAACACATACAACTTAAGTAACAGAGATAATATAGTACTGTCTATAATCTCTGAATGTCAGATTACACTATAAAACACAAACATTTCTAATTCTTCTACAAGAAACATGAACATTTCACAAAGACATTGTTTTCTATCACCACAGACTAAACAAAAAGTGTTTTTTTTACGTTAAGACAGTTTCACCTAGATAAAAGCAGCTGTAGTTGGATATAAATTGGACGATAATTAGTTTTTTTGGCACAACAGCCGGTTAGCCTCCCAGCTCTCTGGGCCTCAGTCTCACCTCCTCCTGCTTCCTCTTCAGCACATTCCTGCGGACTTGTCTCTTGCTGAGTTCTTCCACAGTGTCTCTGTGCAGCAGCAGGACGCCGGCCTCCTCCTCCGACCGCTCGGCCTCCGGTTTCTTCAAGAGCCGTCCGACCTACGGGAGGAAAGAAGAGGAGAACCGGGTCGGTCTCAGTGGCTCAGAACCGCCGCTACTATTACCTGCTATGTTAGCCTGCTAGCTTGTTGCTAGCTGCTCTAAATATGTTTTTTTCTCGTCTTACCAGTCGGAAGATTTTCCTCTCACTCTCTCGTTGCAGTATTTTGGCCTTTTCCAAAGCTTTCCTCTCCGTCCGTGAGGAGACGGCGGCGTCCGGCTCCTCCGCCATCCCGTTTTTTAACTCAGCTGAGATGCAGTTTTGTATTCAAAACAAAGCTCATAGCACCAGCGACCAACAGCAGCCGGGCCGGATATTGTCCGTGTGGGAGGAGACAGGAGGCTGCGAGCAGCGCCCCCTGCTGCTAGGAGGCCGTCAGTGCTCCACAAACCGCACGGCAACAATTCAGCGTCAAGAAACATTTATTATCAACCACATACAAATAAATAAAATACAAAATATCCAACAATAATAATAATAAAAAAAATACAAATGTTTACACTTGTTTTGGCTGATATGTAATCCTGCTACAAATATTTCAGGCAACACTAAGGGATCACACTGTTCAAGTATTCGCCTCCACACCAAAATCTGGAGCTGGATTTTAACAGTTGCGTGAGGACAAAAACACTGTTAATGTCACACTAAAGGGGCTTAATGTGTGCTAATACAGCTGGAGAGTCTGTTTTTGATGACAGGCACATAAACGTGAAGGAACTGGGTAATTCAGGCACTGAGTTCAGCCTCGAGAGCAGAGGTTTAACACTAGACAGTGGGAAAAACACTTGAATGTACTGAAAAAACTAAAATAACTGCTCACTCTACTTCACAGCAGACATTTTGCATGCCTCAGTAGTTTAAGCACAGGTATACTAATGACTAATAATAATTACTACAGGCATTGTTATGTGTTCCTCATACAGATTCACATTTTGACTTGCCATTGCGGGCAAGTGTCACACTGAGCCACAACAGTGAACTAGACTGCAAAGGATGGAAGCTAAAAGGCATGCAGCTGTTTTTAATGTTGCAAATTACAGCTGTGCTTTTCCTGCTGTGGCTAAATCCAAATGTCTCCTGTCAAAAAGGTCTAGCATTTCTATTTAGGTTCCTTCTTAAAAACAAAGCAATGTCCACATACAGACCTGGCTGTGAACAATCAGCTCAGAGGGATTTTTCTTAAATACAAATATCTGCTGAAAAAGTCAGAGCCAAGTCTGAGCAAAAAAAAACACAATTTTTGTTGTGTTGCACGCATATTTTTTTGTCATGTTTACCATCTACTTTAGGAAGGGCGCTTCTGGCTCACTTGAATACCCAAAAAGGAACTGAGCGCTTCCTGCTATGACATGTCAAAATGTTCTTGTAAGCCCACACACCTTTCATGTGCAGAAAACAAAGCTTTAACCCTCTGAACCCCAAAACCTCTGTGTGCTTAAAAGGCGTGTGATCTTATAAAAATATCACAATGTTTTTTACCTAAAACTGTAGCATTTCATCAAAATCACTTTACAGTTTTTATTTAAAAATTTGCCAATAATAATAATAAAAAACACATTTTCTGTGCTCCTTAGCATAACCAGTGAGCTATAAGTGACTCATATGTCACCAACAGAAGTGTGACAAAAATGAAGGGACTTTACGGTTTAACTGGGCTGAACTGTAAGCAGTGCTTATATAAAGCAGAGCGGAGAGAAGCATGAAAACAAATTTAAAATGTAAGTAGTAAAATATCTATAGAATGTAGAGTCACAGTTGTTTTCTATTGCAGGTAACACCTGTGAGCATTTGTAGACTTGTTGATTATAGGTTGTTTCACTTTTTTGTAAAATAAATAATCTAAGAAAATCAACCTTTTCTCTTCTTTTTAAAAAAAATCATTTATGGCATCATGACTTTGTTAGTCTGCATAAAGGACATGTATTATTTCTCTCATGGTTGTGCTGTTTTCATAGAGGTGTAAGGCTTTATATTGCAGTAAAAAAAATGAGGCCACAAAGAGTAAAAATGCGAAGCAAAAAACACCTAGCAGCTTGGGGTTCAGTGGGTTAAAATGCTGCCAAAAGATGATGTTTTTTCCATCAACTCAACATTTTCCTGTAAACATCTTCTATTTGAGTACACTGCTGATGGTGAAAAATACAAGCAGGAGACCAGGTAAGGAATTAGTGTTACTGGCAGAGCAGATGTGTAATTACTGACTGTAGCTGAGCTGTATCCGCACAGTGAGCTCTAGTCATTCTAATATTATACCCTTTGAGAGTGTATAAGAAAATCCCCAGTATGCCAGATATGAAAAACAGTAATATATTAGTCAGCAACAGGCATCAATTTGTGTCAAATTTGGATTTTGGATTTGGAAGCTCTCAGGATTAGTTATACACTATTCATGTGATCGCTGGAGGCCTTGTTAGGCGTCCTCACTGGGACCAATTAGGGAAGTGTCATCGGGGTCTGGAGGAGAAAGTGCTCTTGGGGACCCTCTGAGGATTTGCTCTGAACTGTCCTCGTTTGGTTTCCAGCGGCTGTTCGGGAGAGACTCCAGACTTCTGTCCGGTCCTCGTCTCAGCCCCCCTGCGCCTTTCTGCAGCCTTTTTCTGGATTCTGGAGGGAAGAGAAGACCGATTTTTTTAGCAGATGGCAAAGGTACCATCTATAAAAAACACAGAGCTTTTCTTAATCTCTGATGCAAGAGTTTCAAATCATTACAAAATTAAGCTGAATGCTATTAATCTGGCTGGGACTCGAAAGTCACTCCTCTAAGAAATATCCGAAAGACTTGGATAAATGAGTCTACCACCTGTAATGACCAGGTTCTCTGAAAACTCACATCATGCCACTCTTCCTCTCAAGTGATTTCTGTGTTGCAGCTGACAGACAGCTCTTTCCTCTGGGTTGGCCAGTGTGTCCACGCTGCACGAGCAGATAAAACACGTTAGTCTGCAGAAGTAATATGCATCAGAGAAACAGATACATACAAAATATTTTAAGCAGTGTTTTCCATGTTGAAAACTCAGTACTCATAAATCAAGGAGTAATTCTGAGGTATCACCTGATGATCTGGTAGTAGCGTAATATATAAATGACACAGGTCGGCCACAACATTAAAACTATAGATTGGTGAAATTAATAAAATTGATCATCTTGTTACAATGCAATGTTCTGCCAAGAAACCTTGGATCCTGGCATTCATGTGGATGTACCACCTCTCAAAACATTCCCAATCTGATCGAGCATCTTTGGGTTTTGCTGGAAAAAGCCCGATCTACGGAGCCCTACCTACAACCCACAAGACCCAAAGGATCCTCCATCAAGGTCCAGGGGTTAAACACTACAGGACGCCTCTAGAGGTTCATATCCTGTTGGGTCAGAGCTGTTGAGGCTCACGGGGGATCTACACAACATAAAGCAGGTGGTTTTAATGTTGTGGCATAATGGTGTATTTCCATACCCTGGTAAGCACCTGGTTGTCCTACGACAGGACCTTACTCATGCTTGAGAAATCAAGACTCGTTCAACGTCTGGTCTAGACTTCATTCAGCAACACCGGAGCTTCTGAAAAGGTTACCTGTCGTCTGAGCTCTCGCTCTCTGGCCAGCTCTCTGTCCCAGCTGATCAGCTGCATCCGCTCTATGGCTGACAGGCTGAAGAATATGTCGTAGACCTCATAACGTGCAGCGCGCAGCTGGAGGAACAAACAATTACAGAGCAGATGATGGCTTGAATGAATGCGTGTAATCACAGTACCTGTTGTGGTAACAGCTAATGGAGCGAATAATTGTTGGCAGCGTAGAAGAGAAGAGGAGAGAGGTTAACGGATTTGTTTACAACATGTGTTTGCCTTCATACCTGCAGAGTGACTCTCTCCTGCAATAAGAGGTCCTGTCTGCTACAGAGCTCCCCCCTGCCAGGGCTCTGCTGTTGGAAGGCCTGCAGAAACTGTTGTGTGTCCTACAAGTGCAAAAAACCCCAAAAAACCACACAGCTGTAATCTGCACGCAAGCAGTGTTTGTTCATTTCACCACAATAAAAGAATGTGCTGCTAGAGACAGACTGCTGTCTCCACTCACCCTGATGGTGCGCACCAGCTGCGCCACTCTCACCGTCTTCAGCAGCCGGCGAGTTAGGAAACCCTTCACGGCCGCAGACAGCAGAGGGCGGTAGCGCCCCGAAAGTGGGCTGGAGGGCTGAGGAAGAGGAGGAAGAGGGGAGAACGGGTGATGAGAGAGGTGAATAATGAATACCAGAGGGGAAGAGAGAGGAGAATGCTAATTCCATCAATGACAACCAATTAATTTCCCACACAGCTTCTCAAGGTCTTCTGGTTGGCATCTGTTTAGAGCATCAATGCAAGTGGACTCACAGCTCATTATTATAATAGGGAATAATAAGCAGAATAATAAGCAGCTGATGTGCTGTCACTCACTTGTTGATTCAAGAGCTGTTGCATTAAACGGACATGTTTGTTAAACAAATGTAGTCTAGCTGAGCTGTCGTGCTGGGAGATACATTAGAGCACAATAACAGATAATAGCGGTTACTGATTAGGATTAAGACATAGCAGTGGGGGGGATCAGTTGCACATGAGCGTGTCAGCCAACTGGCGATGATTAAAAATCCTGCAGATAAAAGGGTGAGCAGGACAAGCTTTTTGTGTATCACTGACATTAGTGAACAAATATGATAGTAATACCTGAGAGAGAAAGGTCGACGTGTCCCCAAGACGTGAGCTTGACATGGAGCAAGGGAAGGACACGCTCTGGAGGAGACGGTAACGTACTGCCAACGCCTGAGAGAGAGACAGGCAGACAGGAGAAAGATGTAAAGGGTGGAGGGAAGGAATAAGAGGGAACGTGCATGCGTGCGTGCAGGCACACATGCACGCATTTGGGAGCAGGCAAGGTTGGAAAATATTGAATTGGAAAGGACAGCAAATGAGGCAGGAGGAAGAAATTAATTGAGGGTAGAGAGAGAGAGACAGAAGGGGAGTGATGGGGCACAGAGGCAGGAGGGATGAGATGAGACGGAGCGGAGGAGGAGAGGGATGACCGGGATGATGAGACAGGAGAGACGGAGAAAATTAATACAGCCAGAGAGTAAAAACAATGTTGGAGGAGGTATGAGACAAAACAAAGAGAGGGATGAGAGGAGAGGAGGGGGGGGGAAGAGGAGAAAGAGAAGGGACCATTAGCGGTGGCACTCAGCGGGACGATCTGGCACTTAACCACAGACGCTCATGAATTAAACAAATTATCCTTTCCTTTTCTGTGTCAATTCCCTCGGTCCCCTCCTCCCTCTACCAGAGAGTCCAGCCAGCTCGCTCTCATCACATCACAAATGATGGAAGGACAGAGGGGAGTCAAAAAGAAGTCTTTTTATTAAACAGCTTATGTTAATTATATTGTTGTTAAGGATACATAAATTAAACAGAGCCTGTGATTAACAGGGCAAGGACACCGGCCAAGAACAAATACAGACACAAGCTGAAGAGACAAGAACTGGTTGCCAGAGAACAGCAGGCGTCCTTGAAGTCTTGCATGTGCGCACACACACACACACACACACTCAAAGAAATAGGCGACCATGCCAGCTCGCCTCTTAGGGATGTAATGAAACATTTATGGTAGAATCCGTGTTTTTTTTTTTTTACTGGGGAGAGTCTGAAGGTCTCTTGTAATGAGCAGATGTCTTTAGTCTGCCCACGACCCAGGTCTCCAAAAGCACCCTCTAACAGGTAGGGCGACAACATGCATGTGTGTGCGGAGGTGGAAGAGTGCCAGAGCCTTTCAGATGTCGGCTTCTAGCTTCAAAACAAACATTTAGGGTCAATGTTACATCATAGCTCGGCGAATCGGTTAGAAACTCTCAAAGCCTACTCTCATTTTAAAAAGACGGAAACACTGGGCCGGACATGAATTTTTAATTCCTCATAGGTGACTTTGGGTGAAGTCAGAAACCTTGGTGGAGTGAATTATGGTTGATGTGCTGGAGTTACGTAGTGCTAGGTCTGTACGGCAATACGTGATGCAATCTAATGCAAGAAGCGGGCCAATGGGATGGAGGAATTATCAATGAGTGTGTTTTTACCATATTTAGAGTTGGAATAAATGCCTGCTTGTTTTAGGGTTTCACAAACATGTAATTTCAGATTTTCCTCAATTTTTTCGGTGTAATTTTGTCATTTTGACACTCAAAGCAAAATCACAATAAACTTGTAATTTGCAGATCAAAGTTAAAGTCTTGAAGATAAGGCTGGCAATGTAATATATATTTTTTATGTTTAAATAAATCCCATAACTCCACCAAAATCCCTTACCAGTCTGTGGTGCAATCATTTAAAAACTGATCACACATGCTTATTTAATTTTAAAAAGGATGGAGCACAGTAGCTTTTTTTTTTTTTTTTATATATTTTTTTGGGCTTTTGCCTTTATTTAGAGCAGTGGAGAGAGACAGGAAAGGGGGGAGAAGAATGAGGGAGAGACCTGCAGCAAAGGGTCATGAGCGGGATTCGAACTCACAACCGCTGCGTCGGGGACTGTAGCCCCTGTTCATGGGTCACCCGCTCAACCAGGTGAGCTATACGGGCACCCGAGCACAGTAGCTTTTAACATTACTCAGACACAAATAGATGGTGTATTTCCTTGACTCTCCTCACTTGCTAATTTGGTGCACAAATGAATGCTTTTGGCAGCAGGATTGACTCACAATAAACGACAGGACCTACGTTCACTGTAATAAAGCACATGGAAATCAGTGACAGTTTGACATCAACTACATGTGTATCAGGCTTCGGGACAGAGGATAAATTCATCATTGCTTTTGGTCTTTTTATTAATGACAATATAAAAAGTATCACCACTTACATATCCTTTAACAACAATGAAAATGTAAGTGAAACTAAATTTAGAAAGTTTTTTTTAGCTCTGTTTAGAAAAATATTTGTGAGACGCAGAGTAAAAATACCACTAATAAGATGAGCGTATTCTTGCAGCACTGCAAAAACCCAGGTTGACGTGTTTCAGCCACTTAGGCATCATAATCTAATGTCCTTCAGCGAGACAGTTTTTCAGGCTATTCTGATAACAACCATTACTTTTTGTAGTAGTTAATAAATGTTCATTGTTCTAAAGATGTTGCTTATTTGGTATCATTGGTGTATTTTAACCGCAGATTTAGGTGTTACTAGAAATCTAGAAAAAAGAAAAGATGATTTTCTTTATTTATTTACAAAAAAAAATTAAAAACTGGAATGAAAATGGAGAGAAAGTGTCCTACTGCTGTTACCAATAGGGGAAAATGGTGATTCTAAGTACTATTAATATTTTACTACTTATATTTGTATTTTTTCCACACTTGTGTCCCATCTGCTCTCTGTAAACACAGTCTGCAGTCCACCCGTGAAGTCCCTGAATTTTTGTTGACTGCTGGTGGCAGCTGAGAGGTGCACATTTTTTTGTTTTTCTACAGAATCTGGTTTGAGCAAAAATGGTTGATTTTTGGCAAATTTATAAATGAGACACGTAGAAAAAAGTGAAGAAAGTAATTTTGATGAAACAACACAATTTAAAGCTTTGATTTGTTCATGATCTTCTGCAGAAAATGCATGTCACAGATGATTGGTTCCAGGACTGTCAGAAAGTTGAAGATCTGATTATTCTTTGAGTTTTTACAGCTTCTAGCTCCGGTAAATAGTGTAACTTGGAAAATAACATGCCTTTGGGTTAAAGGGCTCAGAGGGTTAAATTGAGTCAGGCTGCATATCGACCGTTTATACAACTTCAACATTAGACACAACCATGATCAGTAACAAATATTTTCAATGTAACAATATTAAATTTACATTTAATTAAAAATGTAATTAAAAGAAAAAAAGGTGCCTTGAGCATACCACTAAATCTGAATCTACCAAGTCATTTTCCAAGGTACTAGACCAAATCTAGTCAGATGTTCCCTGTAGTGAGACGAGAAAGACGTCTTTGAAAATATCTTTTCTTTCCAATACAACAGTATGCAACTGTCATCAGCTCTTTCTGTTCCTTAAAACAAAATGAGCTAGATATTTCCAGCCTTTAAACATTACTCCACATTTCGTAATTAAGGCCAGATTGACCCACAACCTCTTTCCTTTATTAAAAAAGATATTGTCTGGTAACAGGCTCAGACTACATTATCCTGGAGATTTTGTCAACTGTAGTTGAAGCAATTGATTAGGAAGAGCAATAACAATCTCCCCTAGGTGCTCATGTATTTCATAGAAACTGTAGTTAATTGTAAATGTGGTCCATTTGAGAGGACATTCCCCACGACCCAGTTTGGAAAAAAGAAACCTGAAATGTATAAAATTCATTTGCACACAGCCTAAAGCCAGTATGATCACCGCTGCACTCTCATTAGATACCGCTACCTATTTTCTTGGCTTCCTGTATCTGTTTTATTCAATAACATTTAATTATCCATCCCCCCTGTCTCACCTGTAGTAGTTCTTCCTGCTGCTTCCTGTGCTCCTCTTGCAGAGCTCTGACCTGAGCAGCATGGACCTTCTTTAGCTGTTCTTGCTTGTCCATCTGACTGCCAAGGCCTTCGTTGAAACAAACAGCAGCTGAAAACCATAAATATAAAAATATGTGGTCACACATGAAAACAATCTGTTGGAGTCATACTCCGGGTGTCTAAAACAGGGCTTTAAAAGCCTCAGTCACCAAGGGCAGCGCTTATGCAGGTTTCGTCTCCTTCAGCACATTTGCACTTGTGATAAAGTGTCTGATCTGCACTTTTTTTCTATGTGTTTAATTAGTTCTTCCTACATGACACAGATATGCAAGAATCCCCTGTTGTACTATTTAACTTGAGTGAAACCTTGCATATCTTCTGCCCTCTGAGGCTCAGGTTTTGACAGCCCTGCCCTTCCGTGTCCTGGTCTTACCTCTAGGAGTGCTGGAGTTGGGTCTGACCACAGAGCCTGGTCCTCCGCTGGTATCTGCACTCCTTCCCTGGACCTCCTCTGTCATGTGCATGAGCAGCCTCCGTTTGACCTTGGACACCCCTCCCTGACCTTCACCTTCACTCTCTGGAGTCAGGTGTTTCTCCTGGACAAGACGACCTTGTGAGCCCGAGGCAGACCCCGACCCTTCGAGAAACCACAGGCCAGATGGTCTGTCCACATCGTACGACTGATTGAGAGATGGCGAGTGGATGGAGTTGTGACCTTCAACTGTCATCTCATTCCTCCTTTCCACAAGATGGTTACTGGCATCTGAGAGCACCAAGGCCTCACATGGATCCGTGGTTTCAGGTGGAACATTTCTGAACACATCAGGGATGCGCATCCGCTGTGCTACAGAGAAGATGCACTTTGCAGGTGGCTGCTGCTTTCTACAGCCGCCATGTTGCGCGTAACTTTTTGTTAGTCCGCCTTTACCTTCCCTGCTTCTCTTTTCTCTCTCTCTAGCTGTGGTCTTGATCAGTCTGAGCTCACCAACATTAACTGTCTCAGCTCCTTTCTCTTGGACTGTGATAGGAGCATCATCTGTGTCACTCGCACTTGGCTCAGGTCCTGAATTTGAATCTTCATGCATGTTTTTGCAGTTGCTGAATGACTGTCTTCTCTGCAACTCTCCACCCATTATCTCATCATCATCCTCATCCCTCTGCCTGTCCTCCCAATAGTCACCATCATTTTGACCAAGCTGCTTATGTTGATAATGTTTAATTTGCTCAGAGAGGTTGATGCCTTTAAAACTTAACACGCTTGGTGTGTTGCTCTCAGTCTGGCTGTGATTGTCCAAGTTTTCTTTCATTGTCGACTCCAGATCTGAGATCAGGACCTTTAGACTGGACAGGTTGGACTCAAGCAGATCTATGTGCTGTGAACTTTTAGCTAAAACGCTGGTTACGTCCCCTTCAACAGTGGAAAGAACTGCTGTGTGACTGTTTTGACGTCCAAGGTTAGCTTCTTCAACCTTCTGGTTTTGATTGAAGCTGGTGCTGAACACAAATTTCCCCTCTGAGGTCTCCGCCCCATCAACAGCTTGTCCATCTTTGAGACTACCTTTACTTTTACAGTGAACAGGACTCCTACAAAAGGTAGGTGCTGGGACAGTGTGATATTTCTCTACTCCTTTATAAAAAGCTGTAGGACAGGTGGTCACATGAAAGGCATCTTGAAGAGGGGAGGTCCATGTTGACGTTGGCTGTTGCTGGGTAAAGGCGCTGATAGGTTTAGGCTTCGTTATGACCTCCTGTGAACTGTTCAGCTTATTATTTTTGAGGGTTGTTTCTTCTTCAACACTAGTCAGTCCCTTAGTGTTTCCATCTCCTGGTAAATGTACGCTTTCAGATTTAACATTCGTCTTTTTTCCAGTGAACTCATTCTCAATCATGTCACTCTCCCAGGATTTCTTTGGTGATGTTTCCACAGATTGAATAAAAGTGCCTTTCCTCTCTTTAGTTTTCTTCCCCTCTGCGGTCACAGTGCCCTTGTAAGGGAACTCGTCATTCTCCTTATCAGAGAGGCTCTGCTCCTCCGCCCTTGCTCTTGGCTGTTCTTGGGTTCTCTCCTGGATTTTAGTGTTTTTGGCTTGGTTCCTAAGCATCCGCTGGCGCCGTCGATACTCCTGAGATTTCTTCAGCAAGGCCTGGAGGCTCAGACGATAAGGCTCCTCGGGTGGCTGTGAGTCTGCTTCGTCTACCTGGGTGTCTACTGGTTCGGCTTCACTGGAATCGTGCTGAGTAAGCAGTTCTGCTGTTAGACAGTGATGAGTGCTTAATGTCTGTAATGGATTGTCTGAAAAGCCACTGTTTTCTAACAAAGGGACTGATTCCTCATTTCTGTCCACACTTTCATCTTTGTCAGAGTCAAGTATTGCAGTAAAGGGAATGTTATCTTCATGCTCTACACTGTCCAGGTGACTACTTTCAGGTTTTTCTGTCGATAAATGGTCATAAGTGACCAAATCCTCCTGAAATGAGGTGCAACTAATGTCTCTTACTTCTACTAAGTTATGACAAAAGGATGACTCCAGTCCACTCCTCTCTAGTTCCTCTCCATCAATGGGAGGGTGGCTGATAATATCTGGCATTTTAGCGATTGTATTTGAGGTGTTGTGAAGGAAAAATCCACCTGTGTCATAAACTCCCTCCGAGGTGTCAATCCTTCCAGAGACAGTTGTGTTATTTCCTACATTCTCATAGGTCACGTAACCTGAGGACAGTGAGTGGTGGCTTGCTCCATTAAAGGAACTTGGCTGCGATCCTTGTTGGCTGTCAAGTTGGTCAATAAGGCATCCATCATGGTAACTTTGCTGAGGTGTCACATTTGAAGCGAAAAAGGCACTATACGTCGTTGATGTCAGCGGAGGGAGAGAATCACCATCTTTTGCTTTCGTTAAAGTTGGTGGCGAAAGACTATCCTTTGTTCCAGCAAAAGAATTACTCTGAGACACTGATCCACTGCTGGTGTTGTAGGATAATGACGGTTGTGTGTTATTCTCTGACTCTTGAAGCAACTCCTCTAGTGTTGGTGTCGTCCTCAGCTGCAAAATATTAGCATAAACAATTAAAACTGCAATAAACTCAGTGAAAATGTGTTTTTAATTGGATCAAAACCATGTAAGACATCAGCACAAGACTATTTGTTTAAATAATGTATTTTGTGCTTTATTCGTAATTAGCCCTCTTTCATTCTTTATCAAAACTGCTCTCATACAAGGAACACAAATACATGCACATTTCAAGCTTGCAAAGATGGCAGCTGAACAGATAGAACTTAAAATACCTGGACGCTGTGCAAAATAGTTTGCACGTAGGCCATTCTCGGATCATCTTTTAACTTTCTTTGGACGGCAGCTTTCTGTGCTTCATCTCTGTGTTGCTGCATCTCGTCTCTCTGGTGGCCTGAGAGCTGTTACCATCAAAAAACACACACAAATTGTCGAGACATACTTCAAAACGAGGCTGAAAGTAATGATGGTTACATTATCAATTATTGTTAAACTTTGTTATTATCTCTGCTGTCTGGAGGAGGAGCTGCCTGAGAACAAGGAGGGAGTAGGACCCTGGCCTCATCCGATCTTAAATATACAGGATTAAGTTCAGGTGTGAGGCCTTTTGCTAAAGTTATTAGAACTAGAATGACAATGGTTGCTTTGTGTTAAACCTTACCAGTAACAGGGTAGCCACAGTTATTTGCTCACGGTGAGACAATGTATGGCACATATTATTCCCTTTAGACATAAAACCAGCATCGATTGGTACTAGCCTCCACTGCCCTGCAACAGGTTTATGTCTACAATAAACCACAGTTGAAACAGATACTCCCGGTGTTTCATTGTTCCTGACTGCACACCCATAGTGTTCAGTACACCGCCTGGAAACCAGCACACACCCTACTACGGTTTAGTTTGTATAGTTCTTGGTTTTTGATTCGTTGATGTCATAGCACCACTGATGCTTGGTTCAGATCCTGAATCTTCAAGCACATTTTCGCAGTCGTTGAATGACTGACTTCTCTGTTCCTACCTGTATCTCCCATCATGACCACCATCCTCCCTCTACTTGTCCTCCCAGAATTTACAATCATTTCAACCCAGCTGCATATGCTGATTTTTTTAATTTACTTTTTGCAAACTTGATGCACTTTTCTCCCAGTTTGTTTGTGACTGTCCAAGTTTTCTCTGACTGTCGATTCCAGATCTGAGCTCAGAAACTTTAGACTTGACAGGTTTGACTCAAGCTGATCTCTGTGCTGTGAACTCTGGGCTAAAACATTTGTTACATCCCTTTCAACCATAAATTTTACAGCAGAAGGAAGTGCTGTGTGACTGTTTTGATGTTCCACATTAGCTTTGTCAAGCTTCTGATCTTCATTTAAACGACTGCCTTTGCTTTTGAAGAAAACAGGGGTCTTGCTCATCGTCATTTCAGCTTAAACAACTCAAGCAGCAAGGTACTGCAAATAAATGTACAATGAAAAGAAGAAACCCACATTTTCACTCAAACAAACAACGAGTACTGAGTCCAGGGTTCTGCTGCAGGTAAGTGAAAGGAGCTAACGTCCAAACTCAATCCTATATACACGCATTTTGTTGAATTCTATCCATTCTTTTTCACATAAGTGAATAGGGCTTTGTTGTTTCAACACATGACATGTTTACAAAAGAGTGGACATCATAAAACAACCAAGTATGCACGATATTGGGCAGATTGAGAATGGGTTCATAGACCACGACTCTCAAGTCAGTGTGTCCACAATTGGCCTTGCAGGGCAACATTCGTTAGAGTTAATGAGATGGTCTTTTGTCCCTCTCTACTTAATGGGCTTGGTGAAGCTGGTGGATACTTTGGTGGACAGGATCACACTGTTGGACACGTCCATCTTTAGCATCATGTGACAGATTGTCTGCCGTTCCATACTGTCTGAAATAATTTTTTTGGCCACAAATGGAGGAGTTGTGGACATTCAAGCGCCTGGCTACGGTCCCAACTGATATGCCAGCATCCAACACGCCAACAGCCGGTTCTCGACTTTCTCTTTTCACCTGTAGCATCGTGTCATTTGAATAGAGCTGCACGTTAAGTAGCCTTTTATAGTCACTGGTCAAAAGAGTGTCTGCATACTGGTCACACTATCTGATCATTGCCATTTAAAGCCACAGCGGACCAGGACGTGGACAGACACCAGATGAACAGTTCAAAAGCTTTTAGACTAAATACAAACCGTTTCTAACCAGACCAATAGAAATGAGATTTCTAACTTGTTCCCAAAGTAAGAAAAGAAGGCTATTTACATGAAGTTTTTGGTGTATATCAGCTCTGATCAAGGCAAAAAGCATAATTTATATTGATGTGTAGCAGGGCAAAGCAGAAAACTTCACATCTGAGCAGCTGGAAGAATATGCAGCATCTCCCATGAATAATCAAACTGCTAATTTCCTGTTAACTAACTACTTGTCACAACATTATTTCACCAACACTGTCAGCACTGTACATCTACCAACAAATAGCCACCGCCTTAAACAATGTTTAAGTACTTCTGCTAACATCATCAGACATATTTACGGTCATAAAACTTATCTAGTACCAGTGGAGGAAGGATGGGTCGTCCATAGAAGCGGATGAGAGAGGATGCAGATGAAGGACTGCGGTCTTTTTCCTCTTCCTCTTCATTTTTCCTCAGCTGGGAAAGACGACGCTGTACAAACTTGTCGTAGTCCTCCATCACGCCGCATCGGGACACGGTAGGATAGTTTAACGGCGAACTAACATCAGTAAGTTAAAGTCAGCAGCTGAATGTAACAACAGCTAGCTAACTTAGCTAGCATAAGGTCTGTTGTTTGCTTCGCGTTTAAACTGCTGAGCTCAAAAGGCATTAACGAGTAAAAGGCAGCCAAACCGAAGCAGCTCTACAGTGACACTGTTATTTTAGAGAAGCAACACAGTGAAGTTCAGCTAGCTACCAAACAAAAAGTTTCCGGCAGGATGGGTCGGTGTTTACATTTTTACCCGCCTCTGCTCCCGGAGCGACGGACGGTGACAGTTGGAGACGCTCGGAAAACCCGGAGTGGATTTAGAGACGGACTTCACGAAAATACACCAAAAACTCAGTAACATACAACATTAACTAAATAAATAGAGCAACCCGTCTTTAGCAACAGCATTACCGTGAAGCTTGTATAGTTAAAAGCTAAACTACCAAGGCGCTACTTGTTTTTATTGTCTGAGAGGAAGGAGCTGAAGATGACGTGATAGTGCCACCTGCAGGCCTGACTGGCTGAACTAAGACACAAACAAAGGTTCCGTAGAGTTTGACCTTCTGGCACAGCATAAAAAAGACAGCATTAGTAAAGACGGTAAAACATTAAAAACAATAATAAAACTATAGAAAAGGCATAGAATATTTTACAAACGCCTGTCTGTAAATCTAGAGTTTTACATAATATTAGTCATATACACATTTGAATATGTAATTTCCACTCAATTATAGCTCTATTATTTTCAGATATTTGGTGATTAAACACCCTCTGACTCCCAAAATTGCCCCAGCATCCACCTTTTCAAAGCTACACGGTAATCTACATTTAAAATGACAAATCACCCTGCTTGAAACAAAAGCTTCAAGTAAAAGTTTTGACTTGTTAAAGCAGTAAAAACACGTGTTGATTAGCAGTGATTACTGTGTGCTGTTTGTTAAACATTTTTATGGTGTACATGCTTACATGTACAATGCATATCATAAGTAAATATCCAAAATAAAAATTAGTTTTCCTTTTTTCCCCCCATTTTTTATTTTGAGTTGAGGAAAAACAGGTTTGTATCTTGCAGCAAAAAAAAAAAAGTTTCAGTGGTTAATTCTTTATATTTACATACTGAAATAATTAACACCTCATTTAAAGTGCAAATTTGAATTGCGACAAATTCAGTAATGCAACAACTTCTATGAAGATATATAGAAGTTAGTTTCAGCTGATTAAACTCTGTGCTGACCTTTTTCACAAAACAATATTATAACAAAATTAAAAATATAAAATTCTCAAGATAAACATATTCAATGTGCAAATACTGTTTATTCACTAAACGATTTCATTTTAATTTCAGTTTTTTTTATTAATGGAGACAGGTACTATTAATAGTATTTATTATAAAGTAAAAATAATAAAACTTACACGAGTATATTCTTTAATTACACAATACACACAAGCTGTTCCATTTTAAAACATGTTTATTGGTCATATACAAAATAAAGTAAGCTGTTTATCAACAAACGTACAGTATATACATCAATAAATTAAAAGATGCATCGGACCGATGATGAAACAGTTAATTTCATGATTACCAATACCTTGTCATCATCACTATCTACAAATTGCAAAAAAAAAGAAAGAAAAAAAAAAAAAGAACAATAATTTAGTTGAAGATAAATACTTACAAAGACTGTCACATTTTAAGTATTTTCCCATAGAAAGTACTGTCGTAGAATAATTTATTACACCCCATACAGAAATATTACAAAACACAGAATTTCCTATTACAAGGGCTTTTCTGAATAGGTTACGCCATATTCACACAAACTCACTACTTTTCTATAGCTTTAAACTGACCATTATATACTTTGAGAAACACAAAGAAAGAAATCCCAGCTCTCATGAGCAACCTGGCTGAATGCTCACCAGTAGACAAGGTGGTTTGACAAAAAATAATGTCATCAAGAGTAAAATGAAAGAGGGAGACTGTCACAACAACAACAAAAAAAATCAGCTTAAGTGATGTGATACCTGAACTCTGTGTGAGCTTTTTTATCATTAGACGTCGTACAGCAGATGCGGGGGGGGGGGCAGAGGCAGCAGCAGATGGGGTAACTTGGGAGGCAAAACTAACATTATTATTGATGAAAACACCAAACAAACGATCAAAGGAATTCTCGGTTCATTTACTCTCATCGATCTGGATCAGTGGCGGGTGAAAGGGCTTTTAGAGTCCAGTGGCGTGATTCACTAGACAGGAAAACAGCTGAACTGCTGCATACCGATTGGCCAAGCAGCAAGATAAGGAGTTAATGATTTGCATCTTCTAGAAGGTGTTGTGAGGACGGGCCTGGTAGGCTGCTGAATTAACTCACAGACCATTTGTAAAAAGCGATAGGACAAGTTAAGTGGGTTTTATCCGACGTGTCTCCACCACTCCTTCTGCCTCTGTAAAATATTTATGGACGCGGTTTAAGTGGTTGCTCGGGTTTGTGATGAAATGCCTTATCATATGGAGGGTATGACCCCTGTACAGGCTGCGGAAAATAAGGTCAGCGTGTCTTAAAGCTCGTAAAGTGTGTTATGGAAAGCCACCGAGCTGCCCTGTCTGATCATCACTGAAGGTCAGCGCTGTCAGCTGATCCGTGTCTGCTGAGTGAAAATCAGGATTAAACTTCTGTAATATTTAGCCTCATTTGTTTACACGCCACTTCACACCGCGAAAAAAGTCTGGAAGACAAAAATCACAATTCTTCCGCTCGACTGGAGGCCTTACGTGACAGCTACATTGCATTTTGCATTCAGTCAGAAATGGATGAAACTAAAAATAGTGGATGATGTCACGTTTTCACAGTTGACTGTTGAGTGAAACTGGGTAAGCCACAACACATAAGCCAAATTTAAACAGAGGCAAACTGGCACTGGCATTTACAACCGAGCGTAAAATGCTAAACACACTGTATATTAGCTCTGTAACCTTGTCACATCACATTGTACCTGCAATTATAAAACAGACAACTTGACAAAACGACTACAATAGCATCACTGCTCCTGTGCGGCAGGAGTTCTAATTTTGCCCTACACAGTTTGCATAATTAGATATGTCTATTTAACAGCAGCCACCATGTTGACACATTTACGTTTACACAGTATGCATCCCTTTTTTTTTTTTCTTTTAAAGTAGAGGAGCATAAAAAATACAGAGTAGGATTAAACATATTGTTCGACAGTGGCACAAACAGTCGTACAGTTTGACACAACCTAGCCTCAACACAAGTCGTGTTTCTTCCTATTTTATATCTACGCAACCACACAGGACCTGCCAGTGAACAACAGAAAAAACATCTTTCAACGAGGAAACAGACAGGAAGCAACAGAGTGACAGAGAGAAAGAATAGATTTAAAAAAAAAACAAAAAAAAAAAACAACAGATAATCAAATAATGGCATTCAGCCTGTACAAAACAGGGCATGTTTTTGTTTTTTTTTTAAATATGGAGAAAACACATAAATATACTGGGTGTAATATTTAAATTTGCTTGTAGCTGAATACCTCTGAATATATTCCTGTGATAAGTCATGTGAAGTTCTCTGGTTTGACTAAACAATTACCAATTTAAAGATTACAGACAAACAATAGTTTTAATTCTCAAACCCACTTATCTACCCATGCTTGTTCAAATTCTATTTTATATCAATGTTCTGTAGAGATGACAACACCTTACTAATTGTAGAAACTGCACAGCAGTAGGCTAGCTAACCCATTTTTCTTCACAGTGGAGAAGTAGCGGTTCAGGTAAAAGGCTGCATGTACGCAATGCTTTTATTATGCAAATTGCTTCTATTTCAGTAAATGATTAGCTTTAAATCAGGTTAAAAAATGTTTGAGGCAATTGTACTCCTAGGTAAACCTCCCTCTGACAGACAGACAGACAGACAGACAGACCGTTAAATAACAGAATAGATTTTTTTTTCACTTCATAAAACACCATATACAAATGTTATTTCACTTCCCTGACACTTCCAGAAGAGCTTAAAAACAAATACAACATGAACAACATTAAATATACACAGCAAAAAACAAAATATCTTTATCACACACTACAAAAATAAGTTATGGGAGTGGGTGTGATGAAGCCATGAAGGCCTGTGGTTGAGTTTCCCATCTCTGGTCACCTTGCCGGATGACCTGAAAACACAAAACGACGACGCCTGTGACATTAACCGAAACGCTTCCTCATCGCATCGGTCATTTTCTCTGCAACAACGAGCCGTGAACAACGCAAGGGCCGAAATAAAGACACAAAGGCCTGTTCAGAAGCATGTAAAATGGGTCAGCCGAAGTGAACTTCTTCAAATACATAACTCATAAGTGCAGTTTAACAAACGATCTAACACGTCTGCCGCGCTGGAGCTGAGTGATGGGGCCGGGAGGACAAAGATTTTATGATTAGAGAAAGAGTGCAGTTACCAACTGTGTCATCACCCGCTTCGGCCTGAAATCAAACGCGGATCAAAGTCATATCCATGAAATAGTGAACGTTATATTACCTCGTCACATACCTACACAGCACACCACACGCTAGTTCACGGTTACACACACGTGCCTAGTCACTAGAGAAAAACAAAGCTATTCAGTAGTTAAGCCACTTTTGGTACAATTGCAAAATAGAGAGATACTGTATATCAAACAGATTTCGTTATACCTTTTTTTACATGTCGTTACAAACAATGCAAAGATAATTGTCTTTATAAAATTCCAGACTCCACCATACATAGACAAAGATTCTTTGAGTACAGAACACCACACAAGACTACTTTTATGGTAAAGCCCGCGTGAAATGACAGCCCATTTGTGTGACTGGAAATTCAGAGAAATATCTTTGTTGAACACACTGTCAGTGATCACATCTTGTGATTAAAAGCAAAAGGAATGCAACATGAACTGCTCTGATTTGAACTGTAGGCGTAATAACCTACATTTTTTGAGTCAGCAGCCAATCAAATTGGTTACATGTGAACCACACAGTTAACATCAAACAGACATATGGACTTTTTTTTTTCTCATAACTGAACATCAACTTTCCATGTCTGCACATACAAATGAGAATAAATAGATGCTCCTATTTTGCACATCCTTTTGTTTTTTTAAGTAAGTGAACTGCCAAGTCACATAAATGAGTGTTATCGATACTATTAATCCTGATGGCGACTACACAGCTCATACAACAACGCACAGCGAGAGTTAAATGCTGCTACGAACGGGTTCCTGGTGGGTCAGTGTTTGCGATGAAGCACAGGTAAACACCTGCACCGAATCTCCACCATCCTTCCACAATTCCTCATGTCCTCTTGACTTCTTCTTGGTGCATATAATTAGGAGACCAAGGCACTTGCCCTTCCAAATTTTTATGAATAAACTTTTGAGCAGAACTCAAACAGACAGAAGACAACGTTTATCTTCATACAGCTCTGGTGTTCAAACGACCATTTCCCTGAAAATTCTCACACACTAAACTAAGGTCAGTAACTTGAATAACTTTGTCTCTTTTTTCCCATAATATGCTGCATGGTTGTTTTTTTTTGGTAATTATCAATTGCCTTTTCCCCGTCTCTCTGTAAAGTCCAGGAAGTACAGTATGTAATAAAGGAAGCCAGTTGGAATTGAAAAAAATGGAAGGACAGAGAAAGGATAAGGTTAAGAGAAAGCGAGACATCGAAAGTGAAGAGACCGTAGAAAAAAATACAGCTAACTAAATATAGCGATACAAAAACGAACACGCGCCACAGAATTTCACAGAATTCCTGATATATAACAATTCACACACAGAGAATACACCTTGGACCTCATGTGAATGACAACACAGTACAAAACAGTAGAAATACAGTTACCACCATTGTATAATATATATTTTTCTATAGTACTTTTCTGAAAAAGTTCTTGGCGAGGTGGAACAAGATGGAGCTTCTCTGCAGCCACTGAACCCAGCAGGTCAAATCTTGTGTGAATCAAATCCAATAACTTCTATATAACTAATCTTTAATCCACATGAAGTACATGTATTACAGTTTATGCACCTAATTTTAATGCCCAAACTTGGGCAAACAACCAGCAGTAAAATTCAACACAGGAAATTTGGCTCATTTAAACGAAAACTAAACAAAGATTTTTTCAGACGAATTTTGTGCATTTTTCTAGATTTGTTTTGTGACGTTTCTCAAATTCTTTGATGTTTCCTGGCTTTCAGTGACAATAGGAACCCTGTGTAACCTTGACCAAGGGCTCGCCTGTTTATAGACTCAATAATCCTCCTCTGCTTCCATTTTTTTCCTTCATCTGCACTGCTGTGAGACGGGTGACAGGAACATGCTGAGGCGATGTAGTGAGACTGCCCAGCTGTCTGAAGTCAGCGCAGGTGGAGGAGAGGGAGGCCAGCAGAGAAGAATTAGTCTGGTGCAGCTCAGCTCCATCCTGATACACCTCATCTATCTTCCCTTCCCTCAAGACCGTGCATCTGTTTTTGACTTCACTATTGTAATCACGCTCGTTGCCGTCGCCACCTTCCCCGGTATGAGTGGGCCGATGACCGATGATGCCACCCCGCCTCCCCCTCCTCCCCCTCCAGCCCTGACCCCGACCCCGACAGTGGGGCTCCGTGCCACAGTCCTGGCGAAGGTCTGCAACGCCTCGTACTTAGACCTCAGAGCGTCCAGCTCTACGCGCATCGACGCATTCTCATTGGCCAGTTTGTCCACCTCCTGCTGCAACTGGGCCTTCTGCTTCTCCAGCTCCTCCTTCTGGGTGACTCTCTTCACCCGGCAGCTGGCGGCGTAGCCCCGGTTCTTCAGGGTGCGCCTCCGCTGTTTCAGTTGCAGGATCTCTTCTTTGGAGAGCCCTCGCAGGTGCTGGTTCAGCTCCCGCACCGACATGGTCACCAGCTCCTCGTCTGTGAGGCTGGTGCCATTCTCGCCCGGCTCGCGCTTCACCTGGACAAAACAGGAGGAAGGAGGGGAGTGAGAAGGACATGGAGCAGCGCTTTGAATCCAGAGAATTCAGTGAGAGACTCGCTTACCTTCAAGGCTTTATTTCCTTTGTTAGTCGTCGTCATGCCACAAGAGCCTCGCTCTTCTGAACAGACCTGTGGATACACAGGAAAGCAACAAACGTAAGCAAAGAAACATCAAACAGCATTACTAAAAACCCCTGTTCCCTGCTATCAGCAAAAATATATTAATTGCAGATCAATACCTACCAAGAACAGTGGAGACATACTGAATCTAAATCCACTACTGTGAGAGCATATCACGCTATTACACATCTGTATCAGACTGTATGAGTGAAAGTGACACAAACTTTTCTTAGAATCTCCCTGGCTTCCTGTTCCCTTGCGGTTACACAGTGCCCACTACCTTTGTGTTGGTAGGTTCTTATTGGCTGGCTTTAGGCCAATAGGAATGAAATGAGTGTGAATGAAGAGGAAGTGGTAAAATTTGTGGGAAGGACTCCAGGGGAAAACCAACTGTCAGAGCCCTCACACACACACACACACACACACTTTACCTAAGTAGAAAAACAGAAATAGACCTGTAACTACTGAGGACAAATGTGAAATCAAACCAAATGCAATGCAGTAAAGTGGAAACAAGAGACAAAAGGATGGAGACACAACAGTGTGAGTCAACAAAGAGCCAGCGTGGAAGTGCAAAAGATGAGATCAGACCTTAGAGCGCACCGCTCCACGGATGAGCATCTCCACTAGCTCTCAATGAGATGCTTTGTGTGGTGTGCTGTTGGTCTTGCTCTCATCTCTCAGACCTGTGTGTGCGTGCATGCGTGTGTGTGTGTGTGTGTGTGCGTGTGTGTGTGTGTGCTCGATAAAGGGCGGCTATTGTTGCTGCTGCTGAGCGATCATCATGAGACCAGTCATGATGACTCAGCAGATTCCTGATCTCTCGCGCTCTCTCTCTCTCTCTCTCCTCTCTCACTTTTTTTTTTTAACTCCTCTCTCCTCCCTCTCTATCTCCAAACCCCCAGCTCCCTCCCTAAAATGTGAGGATTTGCCCAAAATATAGCCGCAGGCTTCAGTGAAGCCTAGAGGGCACAATGGGGGGTCAACAGGAGAACAAGCTCGCGTGTGATTGGCTGTTTAACAGATAGTGAAATGCAGTTGTCCTCAAAGCATAAAAAAAACCTGCTCCTCCAGCCAAACCGCTGCACCTGATACTGCTGAATCAGAATTTTACTTAAACCAATTTGCTGATTAAAGACAGCCTGTTCTCTCGCCGTATATATTTACACTCTCCTATGTATTTCACACCAGGGAAAGTTTAAAAAAGTAAGAAGTATATTTGGAAATGCCTCATATTTCATTCATTCACAAGTTCAGTAATTTAAAAAGCTGCTTCTTTGGGGAAGTGATGACATTTAAGAGACACGAGGCAACGCGTCCCGTTTCATCTTCATTCTTTTCTATCAAAAGGCACGGCACTGAGCGCGCCAGTGAGCTTCCCCCACAATGCACCTCTGTCTGTCTCTCTGTCTGTCTGTCTGTCTGTCTGTCTGCCTGTGAGGATGCGTGAGTGTTTGTGCGTACGCTGCCACAAATCCTACAGTTATAAATAGCTGTACATCAAAGAAAAACATAGCAGCAAGCACATACAAGTAATTATGCATGCACACACTACATGTCAACTTAAAAATTCTGTTTAAAATTCGACGCAATGATGGAGAACATGGGAAAAGAGCGATGCTACACTTTTCCTCACATGTGAGGGTTCAATCCAACAGAGCAAAGGCGCTGCTTCATTCAAAGCATTTGACTTCAGTACTTCAAACTCTCCTTAATGGGTTGGGATCAGTCAATTATATAAGTTCTTTCTTTTAACTGTGCATTTAAAAAGCTTCATCTCAAACGTCTGCATTACTGCACCCTTGTATTTTGTTGGGATGCAGCTTCCCAGAGCTGGAGAAGCATCCTCACACAAAAGATGGATGGAGGAGATGGAGGCTGAGGGTGGCTGCTGGGGATGGGGGTGGTGAAAAGAGGAAAGTAAAGGGGGGGTGGGAGTGAAAACAGAGGGGGCAAATAGGAGGCTGTTTCCCTGGCAGGCACTGGCTTATTTCCCCTGTGCCCAAACCCCCCACTCTCCATCTACATACAAACAAAAAAGCACGCTCACATACACATCACCCTGCCGCCATGCCAGCGGGGCACAATAAAACACACATGTAAAACGGCTGACTGCGAGTACGTGTAAACGTGGGTGTTTAACGAGCTAAACAATGCTCGATACGTGTGGAAACTGGAGATTTGTTGTGCACAGCGTAGAGGTTTGATGCCATATTTAATTTAAACATAATTAAAATCACTTTAGATGTTTAGACGCAAGACCATCGGAGAGGCGTCTGATTGATGCTAAATTAATTCTGCAGCTTCTCAACAACCCCAAACATACAGTCAGTCATAAAGAAGTATCTTCATTGACAAGAACAAACAGATGGCATGGCTCCCACAGAGTACTGATCCCAGCATCATGGAGTCATTACATGACGAGACAGATGACAGCATGAAATCCCCAGAAGATCTGTGGCAAGTTCTGCAAAATGCCTGGAACAACCTCCTTGTCAAGCACCTTGATCGATCTGATTATCGTTTAATGCACTTTGTGTGACATTAACAGATATGTAAAACTATTCATGGCATTAGTTTTCAAAGCAGTCTCACTTTTCTTACCTTAAACATTTGTTCAGGACTGCACATCCACACTGATACAGTTCGTTTATAAGCATTTCTGTTATCTGCAATTGTCTCATTTCGGATATTCTTCCAGTAAAAAATCACCAATCACTGCTTGTGGGTTGAAAAAATGTGTTCAGTAAAGATGAGAAAAATTCTGATTACAAGATGTGCCAATTTTGGCTGTGAACAAAATAAACAGCAACTAAATCTGATCATGAGCAGATCCAACTAAGTCACAGCTGAGAAAAAGATGGTACTGGTGCTATGGTGACAACAAATCATTATTTTAATTATAGATTAATCTGCCAAGTAGCAGCACGTCCTTGTAGCAGAATGGTTAAACCTTAACCAAGAACACCATACAATTGTGACATCCCACATGTGATTCTGGATGTTTGGTTCATGTCATACTCCTTTCTCCCTTTGTTTCTTGTCAGTACTACACTGCATTATCACTTCTCTAACAGAAGAAAGCTCCTTCTCAAAAATTACCACTTAATCCTTTTTTCTATGGCCTGAAAATTGTGAAAAATGCCCATCACAGGTCCACACAGTCCAAGGTATCGTCTTCAGATTGGTAGTTTTGTCCAATAGTCCTGCATTAATTGATCAATTAGTAGTCAGCTTAATCGATTAAGTGGTCAAGTATTCTCTAAGAAAATAATTCCAGCTACCTAAATATATAATAATAGTTAAAAATTCTATGATATTCAATGTTTTTAAATACTATTTTCTGGTTTCTTTACTTCTCCATGGCAGTAAACAAGACACGACTTTGGCATTTTACAAGCACAAAATAATCCTGTCCTGCCTTATAATAACATAGATGCAACTCTGCACCATTGCTTCCTGTAGAATACAAGGTTCTATAAAGTCACTGCCTCTCTTCATGCATCACTCTCCACTTCCCGAGCACACCAGCTCACCTGCGACTCTATTCAGACACTGTAAAACTGCTCTATGCTACAAAATGCCAAGTTATAAAATTGGAGTAATTTAGCCACAAAGCTGTCAAAGCTGGAAACTGATTCTAAAGAAAAATAATGATACAACAAGTCCCATCCTGCAGGATTAGTTTCTTATTATTGTTATGTATGAAACTCAAAAGTCTGAACCAATGTTTTTGAAACAGTCATTGGTACACTGCAACTTTGAGTTAGAGATGCTCAGCATCAGCAGCCAGTAGCATTGGCTACTTATTTCGCTCATTATATGTCTTCTGCTATAGAAAAAAACACCATATGGACCGTGATAACAAGTTGAAAAAAAACTTGATTATCACCAAACTATCTGAGATGATTATTTTTGCTCCAAAAAAGTAACTCAGTCAATTAACTGACTATCACAAAAGACCTCTAGTTGTGCTATGAAGCCATTTTTTAATGAGTGTTTGTCTCTGGACACAGTGTACAGTCCTGCAGATGGTTTTACATTATGCTTCTGATAGACAGGTTGCAGAAACAAACCAAGAAACACAGCAATGCACCAATAACAGGAAGATGTATACAAGCTAGCAGACAAACAAAAGCCTAAATAAAAGCCCCCCAAAAAATAACCATAAATACATAAATCACTGACTTTGCAAGTGTTTTACAGAGGGAAATACTCACACATTTTAGTTAGAAACACTGAATACAAACAGAACTTATTTGTCTCATCTGTAGCTGTAAGGCTACACTTGGAGACCAGGACAGTAGATCAAGTTTGGGTCCTTTATCATCAAGGTCAGACAACAACAAAAAAAACCTGACCTACACCACGGCACAAAACTGCAACCAACTAGTGTGTGTGTTTTGTCGGAGAGCTTGGCCCATTTGTAAGTCACTCAGGTTAAGGATCATCTGCTGAGCAAAGGCATCGCCATTCATCTTGGGCGCACACTCAGACACACACACACACACACACACACACACACACGCACACACGCACACACACAAAAAGGGCCAGAGGTGTCCTTCCCATAATGCTTGTGGGGTGATCGCTGCGGTGTGGTCAATGCCACAGCCACTGTTGCTACAACAGACAGCTTTTTTTGCTGTGGCTGGCTGTATTTTTTTATGGAGCAAGTGAAAGAACGCTGACGTCTCCAGAGCAGAGCAGAGCTGCTTACGGTTACAGTGGAGAGACAACACACAAACACACACGCACAAACACTGAGGACGGGACACGAGAATGGAGGGAGAGGTGAGAGGTGGTGGAGATGAGTAAAATACAGCGAGAAGACAAGAAAAGAGCCAGGAGAAGAAGAAGAAGAAGAAGAAGAAAAAAAAGAGGAACTGGTAAGATAGCAAGGTGAAGACAGAGTAGGTAAAGAAAGGAGGATGGAGGAGGAGGAAGAGGAGGAAGGGTGGTGGTGGTGGTGAAGGAGGACTGAAAGAATGCTGACGTCTCCAGAGCTGATTAGCGTTACACAGAGACATCACACCCACAGCCGAGAAAAATG